GGTGTCCGAAATTTGATAGGCGTGCGCGCCCACCTGGAGCCCATCTCGTGCCACATATACCCCCGATACGTATATATATATATTTTGGGCCTAGCTGCAGGCGATTCGCGAACTTGTTTCTTCATTGTTGTGTCCCCCACCTTACGGGATATCAATGTATTTCGCGTTACGCAACGCGCACACGCGAATCTGCAAAAGGAACCAGCCTCGAAATCGGATCGAAAAGATTGCGTTGCCAAGTTGAAAAAAAGCTTGTGCGTAAATACGAGGACCGGCCTGATGAATATTTACGAGCGTCCTTTTTCTTTTACACGGCAAGCCCTTACCTGCATGATCGGTTGCATCTGTGTACTTTACCGATCTTTTTTTTTTCGTTCTGTGATTTTTAGTACCTTCTTTTTTCGTCACGGAGGAAGAAATTGGATTGCTGCACCCTTTTTTCCCTTAAAATTTTATGATTAATCGGCTTTTACGGTGTTATATCCAAGATAATATATAATATTCATTTTCACAATATTCAGATTTTACGATGCAGTGGTTTTCTACGCGTGTATCTTTGGCAATTCAGCGGTATGTTTATTAATTATGCGCCATTGTTTTCTACTCGAGTGTGTATCTCGAACAAAAAAAAGCCATCGTAGAGCGAGTGTAAATTAGCATATTTTAAATCCCGATTAAAATTCTTTGTAATGTACAATAAGTGATTACACCTCCTCTTAGTAAACGATATATCCATGTCCGAGGGATCGGTCGTTGAAAAGTTGCAAAAAAGTTTAATCGTTCAGCCTTGGTGTTTCATCGTCTGCTCTTGTGATTAAACTTTATTTCTTAGCAATAAAATCGTCATAATTATTTATCAAGGTTGGTAGTATTTAAACAAAATTTCTACATAGTTATATCAATCATTTAAATATAAGTCATGGAGTAATTGAAAGCACAGTAGATGAGAATAACTATTGAATTTATTAATCAAATAAAGTTTTAGTCAAGCAATCAATACTTAATGAAAAATAATAATAAATATTATTAATCTTTCAACTGTTAATCATTGTTTAGTTGGATAAAAAATTGTTAACTTCCATGTATCTGCAAGGGTATCGATAGACGTACGCTAGAAGTCATTCAATATATTCCAATCATAATTTCCAAACGATGCATCGATATGTCACAAAATGCCCCCAACTCGTGTCACCAGGGCCCCATACAGTTTTCAATTTATTTTGCTAGTCCATTATAACTTTATCATTATCGTCCACAGCAACGAGCCATGAATTTCCATCGGACTCATGTAACCCGCCGATACTACCCACCAGCCCGTGGGCGCAGTACTAATACGCTCGCGCTGCAGGTCTCGTTTCGAGACGATGATATAACAAGGCGTCTGGAGCCTCATTAGAGAGGATTGAAAATGTACGAAATCGAAGTTATACCAAGAATCAGAGGAAAAGCTAAAAGTATTAGTACGTTTGCCGAATTCGTGTGGACTGTCAATAGGTACTACTGACAGGTGGTCAATTGCTCCTCGGCTTGTCGATGCCGAATTGGAGTTTGACAACCACGTCGTCGGACGAGTTAATTAAAAATAGTGTATTTTCGTATATACTTTGCTCGATGGTAGCTATAGATGATAATGCAGAAAAATTGGGATTATTCAATCTCGGGCATACCCACAATGACGTAACAGAATACAAGTAGACCATTCGATTGCGATGATCGGCAATCGCTCCGATTGATCGGTTTGCAAAAAATGCTGAAAAATCAACAAAGTTGCCATATGTATACTTACAAAAGAGAAATTATCAATTGTACAAGTGCACGTTGGTCCCAATGGCTTATAATCAACCGGGCACCCAATGGCCATATTTCACTTTGGCTCGTGTTGGCAAGTGCGTGTGTAAGGTAAGCATATAACATACAACGTGCAGCCACTTTGTGTTTCCAGTAGACCGACACGTGAGTGTATACGAGCATAACAGCCTCGCGTGGCCCACAAGTAGTCCGGGTCTGGGTGAAAAGTGAAAGCCCGAGCGTCCGTCGTCGGGGAGACGCCGCTCCAATTGAGCAAATTGACGGGCGGGGGAGGAGCGCGCGTCCTTCGTTTGAATTTACTTTCGTTGCGGCGAGGGTACTTATGATATACCCACACCCGCGTGCGGTTCATTACATATATATATATATACGTATTTCGTTGCACGCGTTTCGGGTCTTACCGCATTCGAGACATTGAATTTGCGATTGTACAACTCGCAATGCGTTTTTCCAATCTCGCGCGGTCACGAGAGTCCGCGTCGGGAGTATCTTTAGGGTATCCCCAATCGGCGCTTGTCTTACAAAAGATTTTTGGTGGTTTGGCGAGTTGTGCGTGTACATGAATGCCAACTAAAGAGGTACTTACGTTGCATTGGTGGCTCAAGAAATAAAGTAAAATTTTTGCATCACGTGTATGAAATTAAGTATTTAAATAATTCAGATACTTTGATTTACGCGGCAAATGAATCCAAATCCGTGTTTTGGAGCCAGGGATGGGTTTTACGTTCGAAATTGTTGAAGATTTAATAATCATCAAAAAATCTGTAGTTCAATGGTTTTGTATAGTTCAACGTTACACTAATTTATGGTTTAAAGTGATAAAATGATACTTTTTGTCATTCTACACCATGACTGGTACAATCAACACGAAATCCTTAAAACCGTGCGTATCCTATGTATGATATTTAATTTGACTTGGACATAATTTTGCTTTGCTAATATGGACATTGTAACAATACAACAATCAGATAGCTGAACATAAAAGTTTTTTTTCTTTTGTTTCATTAATCATATTTTAATAACTTTTTGGTTACTCATAATATTTTGATAATTAATTACTTACGTGAAATAATATGGTGAGTAACAAATGCGTGATATCTCCTCCGAAATACCTAAAGAAGGCTGTTTAAATTATTTCAAATTGCGATTATTGTAATTTAATGCCTAAGTTTATTATTGTACATTTTAAAGTATATCCATCGGTTTCTTTTATGTCTTTGCCTATAAGAAAAACTTAGTGAGTCTTACCATTAGAATCATGGGTTCTCAAGGATATCCGTTTTTCATTTAGTAAATTCCATGTACGTTGGATATCTTTCTTATCCAATATGGAAAAACTGAAAATAAATCTTGATTAAAACGACATCAATAATACTCAAACGAAGAGCTATAAATTCTAAAAAAAGAGAACTCACTTAGCAATAGTAGAAATCTAATTGGTAATTGGCGTGGAAAGGTACAAGGATTCCGTATTGACTTACCTCTATACCAACAAATAATAAAACTGGTGGTTGACTCGTATCAAACCGCTCCCACCGCGCTTAATTTTAAATAATCACGTAACAAATGTTAGCACTCAGGATTACATGGTTTGAGCTTGCCTACATGTACGTTTATAAGCTCTCGTGTATATAATATATTGTTAATATAAACGCACAGGGTCATGGGTTTAATCCTAGCTCACAATGATTCTATAGGCAATCAATAAGCCCTTACAAAATGCGCGAAGAAACTCACGGGCACTGAAACAGCCAGTTTACAGCTTCTGGTTTCGATAACCAGAGTTGCGCGAATATATATATGAGTGATTGCCGATCGCATAAAACCATCACTAATCTATTGAACACCGAAAGTCGAAGAAACAACCAATAAAATGCATAAATATACATGAAACAGTTGTTCCAGCATTTGAAATTCAAAGGAGCAAGACACACAAAGTGCACGCTCAATTTCCCCGGTATATCGTAAATCGATCGTTTGCGGAAAGAAGTATGGTCCAGCGAGCCGATAAACTCAACAACCGCACCACTCCCGATTGAGATATATATATATATAGTACAATAAGTGATTACACCTCCTCTTAGTAAACGATATATCCATGTCCGAGGGATCGGTCGTTGAAAAGTTGCAAAAAAGTTTAATCGTTCAGCCTTGGTGTTTCATCGTCTGCTCTTGTGATTAAACTTTATTTCTTAGCAATAAAATCGTCATAATTATTTATCAAGGTTGGTAGTATTTAAACAAAATTTCTACATAGTTATATCAATCATTTAAATATAAGTCATGGAGTAATTGAAAGCACAGTAGATGAGAATAACTATTGAATTTATTAATCAAATAAAGTTTTAGTCAAGCAATCAATACTTAATGAAAAATAATAATAAATATTATTAATCTTTCAACTGTTAATCATTGTTTAGTTGGATAAAAAATTGTTAACTTCCATGTATCTGCAAGGGTATCGATAGACGTACGCTAGAAGTCATTCAATATATTCCAATCATAATTTCCAAACGATGCATCGATATGTCACAAAATGCCCCCAACTCGTGTCACCAGGGCCCCATACAGTTTTCAATTTATTTTGCTAGTCCATTATAACTTTATCATTATCGTCCACAGCAACGAGCCATGAATTTCCATCGGACTCATGTAACCCGCCGATACTACCCACCAGCCCGTGGGCGCAGTACTAATACGCTCGCGCTGCAGGTCTCGTTTCGAGACGATGATATAACAAGGCGTCTGGAGCCTCATTAGAGAGGATTGAAAATGTACGAAATCGAAGTTATACCAAGAATCAGAGGAAAAGCTAAAAGTATTAGTACGTTTGCCGAATTCGTGTGGACTGTCAATAGGTACTACTGACAGGTGGTCAATTGCTCCTCGGCTTGTCGATGCCGAATTGGAGTTTGACAACCACGTCGTCGGACGAGTTAATTAAAAATAGTGTATTTTCGTATATACTTTGCTCGATGGTAGCTATAGATGATAATGCAGAAAAATTGGGATTATTCAATCTCGGGCATACCCACAATGACGTAACAGAATACAAGTAGACCATTCGATTGCGATGATCGGCAATCGCTCCGATTGATCGGTTTGCAAAAAATGCTGAAAAATCAACAAAGTTGCCATATGTATACTTACAAAAGAGAAATTATCAATTGTACAAGTGCACGTTGGTCCCAATGGCTTATAATCAACCGGGCACCCAATGGCCATATTTCACTTTGGCTCGTGTTGGCAAGTGCGTGTGTAAGGTAAGCATATAACATACAACGTGCAGCCACTTTGTGTTTCCAGTAGACCGACACGTGAGTGTATACGAGCATAACAGCCTCGCGTGGCCCACAAGTAGTCCGGGTCTGGGTGAAAAGTGAAAGCCCGAGCGTCCGTCGTCGGGGAGACGCCGCTCCAATTGAGCAAATTGACGGGCGGGGGAGGAGCGCGCGTCCTTCGTTTGAATTTACTTTCGTTGCGGCGAGGGTACTTATGATATACCCACACCCGCGTGCGGTTCATTACATATATATATATATACGTATTTCGTTGCACGCGTTTCGGGTCTTACCGCATTCGAGACATTGAATTTGCGATTGTACAACTCGCAATGCGTTTTTCCAATCTCGCGCGGTCACGAGAGTCCGCGTCGGGAGTATCTTTAGGGTATCCCCAATCGGCGCTTGTCTTACAAAAGATTTTTGGTGGTTTGGCGAGTTGTGCGTGTACATGAATGCCAACTAAAGAGGTACTTACGTTGCATTGGTGGCTCAAGAAATAAAGTAAAATTNTTTTGTCATGGTTCGCGCACTTAGAGCGAGTCTTGTATTAAAAATATATTAGAAGAAAAAATAAAAATGAACCACAGCGAAACAAAGAAAAATCATCGAAACAACAGTGCACCATTAGTCCGGCTCTAAAAATCAAAATGAACTCGTTAAGTATGCGCCATTGTATTTCGGTCGTCGATTCCCGAGAAGAAAAACCCCGCGTGAAATATTTATTACAACACCATTCACTGGACGGGTATTATTATACCAGTAAAACGATGCATTCAGCATTTACTTAACTGAAACGACGACGACGACAGCAGCAAAAAATCAACGATTAACACAATTACACGAGCTCGCGAGCAACGGAGTATAGCTCTTTGTCTTCCAGAGCAACCTCAAACCACCGCGGTCGCGTAATTTTAACGCACCTCACGCTACTCCGAAAAATTAAACGCTCACCTTACTCCGTATAATTGCCGTGCATCATAATATAAATTGTTACGTACCAAACGCGTGTATTGTATATATTTTATGTATGCATAACAATTACCCTACACGTCGTATTATAACACACACGCGATCCATGTATGTGTGCTCGTTACGCAACAACGTTTTATTAAACGCGTGGTCTGGAAACTCGAAAGCTCGTTATCGACGAGCAAACGAGCGCAGAGGGAAGCTCGCGACCATGAAAGCGAAACTCGCACGTGTGTGACAAAAAGGCCCGAGGCTCGGGTCTCCTTCCCCCGTTGAAGAAAAGTGGTTGCTTTACGCATCGCCCGTGGGCAAGATCGGTTTTTCCCGTCCCCTGAGCTGGGAATTGCACGCGTCTCAATTGTTGTGGTTGGTAACTCGTGGAAACTCCCCTTTCGGCAATTTGTCCCCCATCACCGCCTACCGTGGCCGACGAATTTTCGTTGCAACAGTGGGAGGTGCTTTTGATTCTTAGCGAACAAAAAAAATATGGTGTGATCCCGCGTGTCTTTGCCCCTGCCGGTGATTTCTCTAATTAATTGTCCCCACGGAGCCGAAGGGGCAGCTTGTTTGGTGTAATTACCTTAAAAAAACGAAGCCCGTCACGCGAACGAGAACTGGTCGTGCGAAAGCAAGCGCGTGAATTTCGATATGATAACATGGTTTTCCAAGCACTTGCGATCGATTATTTTTCCCCGGTCGTTGATATAGGTACGCCCGCAGCTGAAAGATCTCACAGCATAACGGTCGCATCTATCAATGTAACGATATAGCGGTAGCAAATGTTGCGGGGGCTTTTTTTTCTTCAAAACTTCGTAATGAACTAGTTCGTCAAGATTGTGGAAAAAAAAGGTTTAAGCGCTCGATTAGGCACTCGACGCAATGAATATTCATATAAACGTCCTTCCTGAAATTCCTGCGAAAGCTACTAGTTTTCACAAAAACGCAACAAAAAAAAAAAAAAAAAAAAAAAAAAAAAACCACCTACACTGTAAAATGATCCGTGGAATGGTCAAAAAAAGGTGTTACGTAAACGTTGTCCATTCAAGGTCGACGGTGTCGAGCTTAACGTGACAATCGGTAGCAAAGAGCATCTGGTCTCCTTCGTGAAAAGCCTGAAAGACGAGCTGGTGAACAAGAGCTTGGAGCGGATGATCCTGTTGGCGTTGCCGACGAAACCCGAGGACTTGGCTAAGCAGTTTGAGCTCAAGGACCTGTCCAAGTGAGTAATTTATCACTGTTTTGTTTGCATCGTTTAAAAATATGCGTGTACACGAGGAATATGTACAATATATATGTATATGGCTGCGCTTCTGAGGTTTATGCGGCACTTATGGACTCTCTTGGCGCTTACGACTATTTTTAAAGATCTCAGGTGCCTTAATGAATCAGAAAAACAAGCTCACTCCTGCTGGTTAGCAAAAAAACTTATGGCTAATATATACAGGGTATCTTTAGGTCTTTGGAGTATTTTTAGATCCCCCCCGATCTTTTGTCTCTCGGACGAGGGGTATTAATTCAATAAGTGCGCGGTCAAAGTTTTATCTCGCAAATCATTTGGAGGAGAAAAAAAGTCACGCGCGCGCCTAGAAACGATTAACCGAGGGATAATAATTCAAGCGAAATTGCGTCAGTCCTCGCGCGAACTCCCTGACTCAGGACTCGACAAATTGCCCAACTAACTATGGTAACGTCCATCGCGAGAAGACTCCCTCGTTGTAAAATCGAAGGTGAAGCAAACTGGAGAGAAAAGAAAAAAAAAAAAAAAAAAAAAAAACAACGAAAGAAACCAAGAACACGAGCATCGTCGTGGTTCATCTTGGGCGTCACCCTGAAAGCTCTGCCGCGGCCTTCTTTGAGACCCTATACGGTGAACACTCGCGCGCGTACTCGCACAGGGGTCTGGGTCACGCGACTGGAATGCCGATGGATGCCGCGAGTGACCAGCTGCACCAGTTTCCCCCGAGATTTCCTCGTTGAATATGGATGAAAGCAAACTCGAAGAAGCAAAAAAAAAAAAAAAAAACGGGGAAAAAGCGTATACTCCGATGTATTGACGCATCGAGCGCAGTAGTTACATCTGCCAAGTGAGCGTGACATAATGCACAAATGGTCTTTCGCAGCGGTACACTGGTCTATTTTGTTATAGCTTGGACAAGAGTGCGCTGAATGAGCAAAAAGGTTTACATTTATTTATTTTTGCGGCGGTAAGCTATTAGAGCGCGCCTTTTGCATACAAATGTTGGTAATTATGATTCTTTTTTTTTTCTTGCCGCACAAAGGTTGTTGATGTTACGCAGGGACGTGCAACGTTGTTTTTATTTAAAAATGTATTCAACGGTCGGCTATTACGATGGGAGGTACACGCACTGATGTTTCATTGATTTACGAGCGATGGATATCTCTTTGAAATTATTTATGCTGTACGCATGGGCGTGACTTGGATACACTTGATCCGCGTACCGCGTGCGTGATTAGCCGAAAGAGTTTGTGATTTGGGTGAAATGACATAACTGAAATTACATAAATAGTTTGGTACGAATTTTACGGGGCGTGCGCGTAACGTGGCAAACGGGTTTGATCATTTTTTTAATAAAACGAGCTTGTCAATTTTTCCTCAGGTATGTCGATCTGTTTACGGTAGCAACGCACTACTTGAGGGACAACGATGAGGCCAACCTGACGTTCCATCCGTCCCGACTCATGGGCTTGTTCGACATGTCAAACACCGACAGCTTGGTGGATCTCATCAACGGTATGGGCGCACCGAAAAAGAAAATACTGATTTCAGCGCCAACGAGTGCTTATCACTTCACGTTGAAAAAAGCGGAAGAAAACACGCCGAGGTCGGCTACGGAGGGAGAAAAGCCCAACTCGATCGATCGCAAAAAAGTATATTTGCACACAACAAATAACATTATGAATCGCGTGAGATATTTAGTTGATAAATTATTATTTTGTCTTGTAGATGTGCGACATGATAAACGATGGCGAATGGACAATCGAAAGAGACGAAGATCTCACTGCACCCTACGCTTTCAAGAATACTTCGTGGATTGCTTTTGAGGATGAAACTTCATTGAAAATTAAGGCGAGTGATTAAAGATTAATTATAATCTAAACATATTCAGTAGTGCTAATCTAATAATTTTTAATTATTTAACCTTTTTATATGCATACAACTACTAAATTACTATTGTTTACAGGGAAAATATGTTATTCTAAGAGAACTCGCTGGTTTGGCTTTGCGAGATGTCGAGAACGATGTGAAAAACGACTGCGGAGAATCGCTGGCTCGAGTGGTACACCAATCCTTTACTGAAATGAAAAGGAAGACCAGAGAAGTAGTACTTTCGTCACTGGAAAAAGATCTGCAGGTAAATAAGAAAAATTTAATCACTTTAACAGCTGCTGAAAACGTCGAGTTCACTTGCTAAGAAAACTCTAAATATCGCTCGATTGGTAATACGTGCTACAAAGCCGGCTCGTTAAAAGTGAAAGGATACGCTTTAGTAAACTCTCTTGAATCTCAAAAGCGTATGGTGCTGGCATCTCTGAAAAAGTTTGAAATTTAACGAAAACTTTTAGTGTTTGTCAATATTCTGTGATTTTTTAGTTTAAAAAATTTATTCAATAAAAAAAAATAATATTGTTTACTCAGTAACATACTTAGCTCCATACTTAGAGTTTGTGAAGATATTTTAACTATGACAATAAAACTCCATTAGTTAATTACAGATTAAATTATTAATTAAAAAATTATTCAAAACAATCACACTTGAAAACTTTTATACTACATTTTTAGGGAACTGAAATCGCCTATCCAAGTCATGTGAGATCTTCAGATTTTAGAATTGTTCGAGTGATAGATACAGCAGGAAAAATCCGCGCTGTTCGCGAAAATACCCAAACGGCCTTTGCTTGCTCGAGACAAGGCTATTTTGTTCACCCAAAAAGTTGTAATAGGTATTATTTATGCGTTTATTCTCATAAGCAATTTATTATTATTTTTTTTAATTCTAAATTTATTTAAATAAATTTTTTTTAGGTTTTATCGTTGCGTGAAATTCAATCAAGAAGTTGACGACTATTCTGTTTTTGAGTTTGATTGTCCGGCTGGATTAGCTTTTGATGAGAGAACGGAAGTATGTGTGTGGCCAGGATCACTATCTCAAGGATCTGCTTGTCCAGGAAGTAGTGAAATTGAGCCAGTACCTCGCAGTAGATTCCGTTGTCCCGATCATCCAGGTTTTTACGCTGATCCGCAAAATTGTAGATGGTTCTTCGCCTGTTATGATCTTGGTAACTTATTACAATCTTGTACTAAAACAATTTTTCAAAAGTAAATTATACAATTAAACAATTCTTTGAAAGTAAGTAAAAAATTATAATTTTAAAGTAATTTTTACAATAAAATAATCTTACATTTAGGTGGTCCTGAAATGGTTCCTTTTGAATTTCGTTGTCCATTTGGATTGGTTTTCGACGAACAGAAGTTAACTTGTGAATGGCCATGGAAAGTTCCAAACTGTAACGGCCCTGGTCATGGAGGCCAACACAGCGCATATCATTACGGCGGAAGTTATGGAGGTCACGCCGAAATCTTACCACAAGAAGGAATAATAGGTCAAGAAGGATTAATTGGACAAATTAGATACGATGGACAAAATACAGGAGGTACTCATTTGTTACAAAAATTATGTAATGATAAAAATATTATAAAAATTATCAGTAGCAGTAAAATAAGCTGAATTCAATTTAATTTAAAATTAAAGGAGTTGGAGTTGACTATGATGGGCAAATACAAAGTGCTGTCGGATTGGGAGCTACAAATGACGGACAGAGTTACAATATTGCTGGTACAGGAACAGGAAACGGAGGCCACGATTACAACTTTCCAGGAGCAGATGAAGTACGAACAAATCACGATGGACAATATAATTCGGCTGGAGAAGGACTAGAAGGTCAATCTTACAATGCTGCTGGATCATTAGGTCAATATGACGGACAAATTCATACCGCGGGTGGAGCGATTGGTAGCGGAGGATTTGATGATCAAACGTATAATAGTCATGCAGGAAAAGGAGTTGGATTCGATGGTCAGAGTTACTCTGGAGGTGATGATTCAGGAGCTCGTTATAATGGTCAAACGTATAATGCGGCTGGAGCAGCAGGAGTAGGACTAGGACCCAATAAACAAACTTATGACGGTCCGTCTCATAATCCAGTTGGATATTCTGGAACAGGAGAAAATTCTTATAGGCCAATTTATAATACTGACATAAATACTGGTTCGAATCATGATGAACAAACTTATGACGCACGTCCTCAAGCAGGATTAAATTATAACGAACAAACTTATACAGGAGCAAAACCTGTAAATGGCTTTGCTTATGGAGGTAATAGATACGATGGACAAAATTACAGTGGCTGGGACAACTCGGGTCAAGGAATAAACTATGGTCACGTTCCTATTGCAGGAAATGGCCCATTTTATAATGGAGCTGGTGTAGATTGTGATGATAAAAATTACAATAATGGTGTTGCTGGTGGAGCTGGTGTGGGAAAAGGAGTCAATGATCATAACAGATTTGATGGCCAAAATGTAAATAAAGAAGTTACTTTCAACACAGCTGATTATGATAACCATCATGGGTCAGCCGCTACAGGCACTTACAATGGTCAAACAACGTTTAACACTGAAAGTGATGGCAGAACTACACAGTTTCATTTGACAAGCTCTGGAACGCCTCATGAAATTAATAACTTGGCTGGAGATACACGAGTCCCTACAGTATATACAACTGGTTCTGTTAAAATTGGAGAATCTGCTTTATCTACTGGACATCCGTCTGGAGGAACAAATGAATATGTATCAGGAACAACCAGTGGATATGCTGGTGCCACCAGTCAAAATGTCGCAGGTCGTACAACTGTATACGCAGATCTTCCAACTGGAGATACTGGTGGCGTAACAAACGATAATGCTGGAATTAATACCTTTGGTGGTCAAACTGATGCATCAAGAGATGTCACTTCTCAGAATCAATTGATAACTGACGGAAGATTTGGTACAAATTTTGCTAGCGTCACGAATGACCTAAGAAACACAGAGTTTACTAGAGTACCTCAACCACAAAACACAAATTTCAATGCATTGGACACCAAAAGTCCAACTAATTACTACAATAATAACTTGAATACTGGTCTGTCTACAACTGGATTTACTAATACTATCGAAGATCAAAATAGTATTGGATTCATTGAAACTGGACAACCGACAGTGTACAATTCTTCATACAGCGCTAACTCTGGATATCCTACTTCGACTATTATACCGTTCAATGACTATCAAAATACTTTTGCTGGTTCAGATAGCACAGCAACGCCGTTCAATTGTAAGTTATTTAGCCATCAGAACTAACCCACAAAATATGTGTAATGAAATTTTTATATTTAATATAGCTGTAATTTACCATTCACACGTAGCTATGGGGCTTACATCGACTGAACATTTCGGCACTCAGTATACCAATCAAGCAGCGAAGAGTTTCGCTCCACAAGGACCAATTGGTAATGGATTTACATTGAATGAAAAAACTCAAAATACTCAAAGTCTCAACACTGGAACAAACATTTATGATAATTCAAGGATCAACTCAGGTAACTTGCATACATTTGAGTCATCTTTACGAATAAAATATATCACAAATGTGGAACAGATCCCCCTTATTGATTAAGGTAATTTAATTGATGTTAGGAGACAAAAATTTTAAATTGTTCAATATATTTGTAGCTAGTGTGACACCTACATTTAATCGAGATGGACAGTTTAATACTGGCCCCGTAATTTTCGGAAGTACATTTGGCAGAGCGCCTGCTGGAGTAACAGATTTCCGGGGCTCAGCAATAAATACAGCTGGTTACAATACTAACACTGACGTAACAAATACTTACGGCAATTCTGATATTATCGGTTCAAGCATTACTTCAGCTAATAACGATATAGTAAAAACTTCTGGAATGACGGAATTCCCTGATGACTATCAAAATAATAAAAATACTGCATTTAGAACTGACAATTTTAACAACCAAGGAACAGTGACTAATCAAAATAGTCTTATTTCTACTGATTTCACAAGAATACCTATTCAAAACCCAGTTACTCCTGCGAGTCCCACTCAGAACTTTAATTCTCAAGGTTAGTACTTAATGTGACAAATATGTTTTCCAGTTTATAACGTATGTATTTCTTTTAGTAGAAAGTTTTTCTAATTGAACTATATACCATTTTCACGATCAAAAAGGCTCTAAATTATATGAAAATTTATTCAAAAATTATTTCAGGAGTTATCCCACCAAACAATAACATTATACGACCAGCTGTTGAACTTGATAACTCAGGATTATTTGGCACTAATTTTGATGGTTCTACTACTCCAGTGGCACCAAAATCTGGTTATGTTCCATCAACTACACTCAATCCATTACCAAATACTTACAGAACAAACGAATATTATGACAATGGTGGTCGTGGGACGATTCGTTATAACAATGGCATAATTACAAATAAGGTGCCAGGAAACGATATTCAGGACTACAGAACATCTTCTTATACGAGTATACCAAGTTCGTTTATAATTAATGCCGGAAATGAAGACAACTTACAATCAACAGTGCAAAAGTACGACTCTACCATCACTCAAAAATTAGATCAAGGAGTTTATACTAAAGAAGGGTTTACAAAAACTGGACCAACTAAAACAGGAATCACAACTGCACAAGTCGGTGGAAGTGGTAGTTATGTGATTGGAACTGGTATTCCGCGAGCAAAGCCCAATCCACAACTTATCGGACCGAATGCATTCGCTGGAAATTTCGATACACCAGGAAGTCAAACTAACTTTGGTTTAACAGGGACAACGAATTTTAATGCAAGAGAAAGTGCAACTAAATTTGGTAATACAGGGACCACGAACTTTAATGTAGGAAATGGTCTAACTAACTTTGGTACTGTGGGAACTACAAACTTCAATGCAGGAGGGAATAACTTTGGTTCAGCAGGAGCTACAGATTTTAATGGAAGAGGAGGTACAACAAATTTTGGCACTACAAACTTCAATACAAGAGATAAAACAAACTTTGGCGAAACAGCAACTACAGCTGAATTTGGCACGTCTCAACTTTCTATCAACCTGAACACAGCTTCTGGAGCGCGTACAAATAGTGAGAGTTATTCTTATCCAAAACCTTTAGTACAGTTGGAAATTAAAGGAATTTCAACCACACCTGGGATAACGCAAACCAATTTCTTTGATAGTACTACCAAATCTTCAAAACTTGATGATCAATCGTACATCAATCAAAACTCTCTGATACCAAACATTCAGAACGACAAAGGTACCACTATCTCGCCGGTAGCATATACTACAAGCCAATTAGAAAATTTCAGAACAACTGTTTATCAAGCTGCTAAACTTCCGCAGACAATTTCAACTGTTAAACCTATTTTTGACAATGGTTATAGAACTGTTGTCTCTTCAACTTCCGTACCAACAATTGCTAGTACAATAAGACAAACATATCAACCAAATGACTTGTCCACCAATTCTAAAACGTATCTAGATGTTGGTGTTTCTTTTGGTCAAGGGAACGATTACTTATCCGGTAATACCGATTACTCTGATTATACAGCAAACATAGATCAAGGTAACTTTGGACAAAGAGTTACTGGTCAAAGTTCGATAAATACTATAGACGTAAGTAGTGTTTTTTACGCGCTCTTCTAATTAATTTGTAGAAAGCATACCATTGATGTATATATATATTTTAATTCATTAATTTTCCAGGCAAATCAAAACAGTGAGTTGATTACATCTACGCAATTTGATGCCAAAACCGGTGTTGGTGGTACTGCTCAAACAAATCGATTCGGCACTAATCAAGCAACTATCTTGAGGAATGGTGTGACTATTCCAACACAGGTAATACCCACTATATCTTGTTAATATTATTACGTGACTAAGAATTTTTGTGTTTTTTAGGTATATTTACCCTCGAGTACCGTAGCTCCTGAAGTAGGTGTAACATTTGGAACACCAATTGTAGCTGCTGATTTCTCTCAACAAGGGCAATCTAGTCGGTCATTAACAAACTCGAACTCAATAAACAGAAATGCAGCAGGTTTTGCTTCCAGAGGATCATCCAACCGTGTCTTGAGTAATCAATCTTCAGGAATCTTCACTCCCCAAAGTCTTTCTGGTGGAAATTTAGTTAATCAAAGTCCAGCAGGTCTAAACAATATTCAGGGATCAAATGATGGCATTTTAAGAAATCAAGCTTTTGCAAGTGCAGCTTCACAAGGATCGAGTGAAAACTTTAGAAATAACCAAGCATCTGCAAACTTTGCCTATCGTGGATCATCAAACAGATTATTGAATAATCAAGCATCTGGAGATTTCGCTTCTAGAGGATCAATCAATAGAGTAGCAAGCAATCGAGGCTCTGCTGCTTTTGCTTCTCAGGGATCAAAGAGTGGACTCTCCAACGGCCAAATTTCACCCAACACTTTCTCCAACCAAAACCAAGGTTTTAATGGTCAAACGAGAACCTTGATAGGCTCGAATGTTGTGACATCAATAGGCGGTGCTGGATTCAATAATGATGTCATTCGTCAAAATATACCGTTGAACGGTGGCAGTAACAGTTTTGCTAGAATACAACAAAGCACAACTTCACAGCCAGAGATTACAACTTATTCAGGCACATTCAGTAGAACTCGAAGCCGTGCTGGAGCCAATTTATTGGACACTCGTAATGGAAACAAAAAAGTTATTGTTAAATTAAGTGACTTGCATCCATTAATCATCGGAAAACTAGGAGCAGAGTGCACTTGTAAAGCTGATCCGTTCTCCGTATTCCGTGGCCCAAACAGACAAACGCTGCCCGTTTATTCTCAAAATCGAGGACCCGTTGATCTTGCGAATTATGACGAAAGTGATATCTACATTGATGTAGACGGTAACAAAGAGAACGAAAAGGAGATTGAATTCCTTAAGAACATACCATCCAATAGATTGATAAAAACCTCGGATAGAGGATTTAATGACGCATTAGTCGACAGGGGTATCGTGGTTACTTCTAGAGGTAACCCGGTATCTTCAACCTACTTGCCACCAACGACAGCAAGACCACCGTCAACGACGTATCTTCTTCCAGCTAGAACATCGTCCACAACATACCTTCCTCCAGTAAAAACGTCCCTCTCTACGTATCTTCCTCCAGGGAAAACGTCATCTACTACGTATCTTCCCCCAACAAGAGTAACAAATGAGTACCTACCACCATCTGAAAAAGAAGACTTGGCACCGGTGTTTAGGGAAAATCAAGCTCAAAACAAATTGATAAGAACACAAAGTTATCAACCATTGCTGATAAGAGTTGAGGAAAATAATCGAAACGCCCGAGTGTCACAGGTTCGCGAAAGATCAGGTAAGGCGTTATTTGACAAACCTGTTGGTTCGAAGAACGAATTGAGAGATTCGAATATACCTTTCGATCGATATGGATCTGCTGGTTTGAGAAACAACGATGAATCGCTTCAGAGAGAACCAGACTGTGCTAGGCCAGGTTTGTTCAGGCACCCGAAATTCTGCAACAAGTTCTATGCCTGCCATTGGGACAGTTGGAAGAAACGATACACGCTACACGTTTTCAACTGTCCGGTTCACTTGGCATTCGATTCGAGTGCCGGGGCTTGCAACTATCCAACCAAGGGTCCCGCTTGCCAGGATAATAAACTACTTGTGTAAGAGTAACTTTGTACTGCCATATATTTTATGGGTGATGCGAATGAGAATGATTTGTACGATCCTAATGTTATAGAGTATCAAACGGTATGACACAGTTGAATATGTTTTTTGGTAGGAATGTGGGCTCGATGTGGGCTATATCGGCTTACACTTGAATTATCAAAAGGTAATCTTTGTCGACGTAAATTTATGTTGCTCTATAAGTTACCGAATTGAATATTAAACATACTTTATGATACTAATTATATATCATGTGGATTTAATTTTCTATGTACTCTAAGGGCTATTTGATTTTGATGATTAGTTTTTAATAATCAAATAAGCTTCACTTACTGTATAGGTTATAAAAATCTATAATTTAAGTGTACATGATATTGTCGTCAAAAAAAGTGATTAGAACATGTAGATCTTAATCTCTTATGTATAATTAGTGAGCTAAGAGATTCAATTAATGTTTAAGGCTTTGAAACTGTATTGTATTTATCATAGATTTTGAGTTTTTTAATGCCTTCTTAAAATCTACATGTTTTACTTTCTTCTTTACTAAAAAAAATTTTTTTAATTATTTGAAAATCATAAATCTACCGNTTAAACGAAATTATATGCCAATTGTAATAGCCTTGCAAAACGAGTTAAATACCTTGTAATCTTCGTTGTTCGTTTTCTGCTCAAATTTTGAGGAGAAAATCGAGTCAGAAAAAAATTTACCATCGCAATTTCAGTAAACTCAGTCAACAAATTCAAGTACAATCATTACGTATGTATAAATGACGAGGGAAAGCGAAAAAACTTGGGGCTCGTATAAGAACTTATAAAAAAAAAAAATTATTTCATTTATTCATTTATTTATTTAAGAATATTAATCGTTAAGCAAACAAAAACCTTAATTAAAATAACCTTTCTTTCATGTCCAAAATAGGCTTTTGTGCGTTTCATCAAATCGAAGCATTAAGTGGGGCGTTGAGGATGAAAGTTTTCTCAGTAAAAAAGAGAAACGTACAATCGTCTTGAGCGAAATTTAGTTGATTTAGAGATTGTAGAAATAAGTGTACTATTAATGAATAATGTACAATAATTTCTAGATATTGTATATGCAAAGAAATAGGACGGCCAATAAAAATGATTGTTTCAATCATCATATACGTATAGGAAGTTCAATACAGGTTCAGTGAACTGTAGTACAGGTGAGAAAATTATTGGTCAATGCATTGAGTAACCGATGTTTATGAAAAAATTAAAAAAAAAGTCTCATTAGCACAGCACACAAATTGCTTTCAAAGAAAAACAAAATTTCACCAGCACTACTAGCGAATATAGGTAGCTATTTTGCGTGTAAACATGATATATTCTTCTAGTGATGCTTAAATAATATGATACGTTGGTATATCATTAGATTTTTTCGGCGAGAGTGGAAAGTCGAAGGAGGAGTCGACAACAAAAGCACGAAGACGAATCTGTGGCCAACGAAGAGTGGAGAAAAAAATAAGCTAAGTATGCCAGCCGAAATGGAAAGTATGTCGTCGAATGAAACGAAAGTGCTCCAATGACCCAGTAATACATTTCACTGTTCTTTGTTCGATGAAAAAAAAGCTTTTTTGCAAGAACAAAAAAAAAATTTAGATCTGAAGCGATAAAAATAATTTGCATTCATATTCAAGATATAAAAGTTTGTAACAAAAGGTTTGCTTAGTACATTATTTTGGAAGAAATTTTTCGTACTCTACGCATACTTGCATGATGTTATTTTCTCTTACACATTACATAAAATATAATCTCACGGTATACCTAGAAAAAGAACCTATTATTACAACCACATCATTATTACACAGTTATTATGCATCGCAAATACATGTAATGCTACATAATAATACTATTACAAGTAAATATACTATTACAAGTCATGATAAATAATGGCACTATCAATATCTAAATATTACCAAAACAAATAAGTAGAAACAGATTCTCTTAAGAGTATTTAACGCTTCAATTCATTTCTGAGGAAAGCTCTGACTATGTTGTTTTCTTCAATAACATATTTTTTCAAAACTTTTCGAAAAAATCCTTCGATCCATTGTATCCGAAACAAGTACTTGAACGATCTCTGGATCGACATTTCGCCTTATTCGTAGCTCTCCGAGGGGGGAAAAAAAATCAGAAAATAAAAAGTCGCTGCGATAGTTATCCACGCCATTCAAGATATACCGTAGTTGAGAAGAAAAAGCGGCTACACACAATCATAGGGTATATCGTAAAAAACAGCGAAAGGTAACGCGAGTGAAAGATCGTGGCGGGGAGTCGGGCAGGTGGGAAGGAGGGCGTCCCGAGCTCTCGGAAGTGATATAAAGCCAGGGCTCGGACTCGGCGGGACCAGCGGACGAGAGATCGCGGCTCCGAGCGCGCCCGAGAGCTCGGGTTACCGCTCCCGTCGCCGCCGCGCCGGTATGCTGGCGCAGAGACGCTGCTGTGCGCTTCAACACCGGGACGCAGCTGCCGTTGGGAACTACGCAAATTTGGCTGACATCCCGCAAAGGCGCAAGCTCTGCCCGACACCATGTAAGTTGTTGCACGTATTTCAAACTAACTTAATTCGTTTCTTTAAATAATTTTTGTTTTCATCAAAAAAGTTGTAGGTTACCATGATTTTTAATAATAAACATATACAACACAGTATCAATGGATTTGTGGCATATAAAATCGTGTTTAATATGCATATGTTTCCTCGTACACTTTCCTCCTCATAAAACTTTCATCGACAAGAAACTTACGGTACAACAAACCCCCTTAAAGTAATTTATTGTAATGGCAGTCATGAAAGATCTTGATACCTCATTAGGTCATTTATTTTCCGTGCTTACGCAAAGTACAATATTTTTCAAATGATCCTGTTACGCGCATATATTTTATACATCTCTGATGACGCTAATTATCTACTCGTGCAATTTTTCAGTAAAACATAAATCATTCAACACTTGAAGTCAGTTTTGTTTATCTTTGAATTTGAAATAGCATATTTTTCCTTTCACAGTACGTACTGTAAAAAATTAGCATCTAAATGTAGACAAACAACCACCAACGCACCCACCATTCGCGTTTACTCTCGCAATTCCGAGTATCACTTGCGCAAGCTCTCCATTTTCCAGCCGATGCGTTTTTCGCATCAATCATACGAGCAAAAAGAACTATCTCCACCGTTTAAGAGCATAGAAAAAAAAAAAAAAAAAATTGTTTCGTAATCCAACACCGTCGTCTCGATAAACGCGAGACTGTCAGCTGGTTGACAAAGCAGGCACGCGCGCTTGGAATGACATTGTGTTATTGTTATCACCGTCAACATCGTTCGAGCCGGTTCTCAGGTGTGCTTGCGCTCGGCAAGTGAAAGGTACATATTTTTTCCGCAACCTTTTTTTCCCCCCCTCGCTGTTTGCCGTATCGCCAGCCGTCATCTCCAACAGGACGCGTTAAACAGGAGAAAACGAGATCCATGAGGGAAGGGAAAAAAATGTTGAGGCACTTTCTCCCCGGAGTAGAAAGCAGAACAGTTTCTCGGACTCCTGTACAACTGTCCGATCGGCCGTGAACGCAGCCGCTGGCGATCTCGCAAAAACGGCTCTGCGATTTTTTTTTTTCCGTTGACTCGTATATTTACTTATTCATGCTTTCACTTTACTCCGATCGAGCAGCTCGGCATAGACACTTTGGACGTTTGTATGGGTATGGAGAATATTTTTATCATTTAAAATAGCTTTCTTCTGTAACACTGCATTAGTTAGCAAATTTAATTTTTGTTTTTCCATTCGTAAGGATTTTTTTCTCTCTGAGCTCGAATTATAAAGTCACGCTATGTTGATTTGGTCCTTACGAATCCAAGTGTAGGATCTAATGAAAAAATAGACGTCGTTTATACAGAAAATGTGATAGAAACACAATAAAATGGCACCAAATACCATCCGGTAAACAATATTAGTTTTTTTCATTTATTCGACTCAATCTTTCTAAGGACTTTGTTCTTGTACACATCAATGTCATAGTCAGCATCTCGAGACGTTAACATAACCAACAGATCCATGTCTGCCGACAATTGTTTAAACGAAATTATATGCCAATTGTAATAGCCTTGCAAAACGAGTTAAATACCTTGTAATCTTCGTTGTTCGTTTTCTGCTCAAATTTTGAGGAGAAAATCGAGTCAGAAAAAAATTTACCATCGCAATTTCAGTAAACTCAGTCAACAAATTCAAGTACAATCATTACGTATGTATAAATGACGAGGGAAAGCGAAAAAACTTGGGGCTCGTTAAAGTCCGGTGTAAAAGTGAAAGTTTGCGCGAAAAGTTATTCATCTCTCGGCCAAACTCGGTGAACCAAAGTGCCACAGATCAGACAGCGAGAAGCACGTAGAGGTACCCACAATCACACTATTTTACATTAAAACCGCGCGTTGCGTAAAACAAGCAGGTATACACAGCCAGCGTAGGAGCACGTATCGGCCGGACCGAGAGCGAGGCGGGAGAGGGAAAAAAAAAGGAACTGCTAGAGCTAATGCGCCCCGTTGCACTCTCGCCTTTCACTTTTTTTTTTCTTAAACGTCGCCTGGACCGTAAACCTACAAGCACAAGTACCGGAGATAAAAGCGACTTCAGAAATCGAAAGTCCGAAAGGCTGCGGCAGGGACGGCATTTATGGCCGTTGGCGAATGAAATTTTTCCGCAAGTCATTGCACTCGTACGTCTCGTTGACAAACTTTCATTTGCAGTCCATAAAAGTACATGGACGCAATAACAACGAGCGACGGCAAGTAACAAGCTTTTACGTAACACGAAAAATCATCTTGTTCTTCCAGGCCGATCCGGACAGCTTTGCTGCTAGCGGCAGTAGTACTATCTGTCAGCGCCGCAAAACCCCATCCAACGGGAGGCGCTTCGGCCACAACGATCGTAGGCTCGAAGAAACTGGCCACGGCCGCCGATTGCTCGCAGCCCATAGCTTTCTCCGGCACCCATGTCATGCTCGACAATGTAACAATAATCCTTTCCTGGACTTTCTTTGCTCAATTGCCAGTAATTCGTACTGATGGAGGCCATTTGAATTTTCAGGACAAGCAAGTAGTCCCAACCAAGTTTTTGCTGGACCAGGGCGTCGGGTACGCCGCGTCGACTGGCATTTTCACCACCCACTGCCCGGGCTTGTACTCCTTCAGCTTCGCAGGCTACCCCACGACCAGTGGCAAAGGCAGTTTGCTCCTGGAGCTCAAGCGCAGGGCCATTTCCACCGAAAGCTGGACTTCGGTCGTCTCGGTGGGGCCATTGGGTGGTTCCAACACTGTGCTGTTACGCATGGCCGTGGGCGATCAGGTCGCGGTTTTCTCCAGCCTGAAAGATCTGGACGGTGCCACTTTCAGCGGCTACCGCTTCGCCAAGGAGTGACAGCTCTCCGCGATCGTCCGTTCACTTGCAAGATTGTTTTTTTTTTTTTTTTTTCATTTTTCGTTTTTCCTTTTTTTTGTCCATAACAAAGACGTTCCGTAGAAGAGAAATCGTTGCTGATGAGCGAACGTCTACAGCTGTGATAGCATCCAATCTGCCTTCCCGACGTCTCCGTCATCGAGTCCAAAGTTTCGATTGGTACCATTATTGTGAAACTACGATAGTTACCATTTTTTGCAACTTTTATAAAAAAGAGGTGACTTGATGATAGTGGCGTGAAATACTTGTTCTCGAAGCACTACTCTGCTCTTTTGCTATTTTATGTACATATACTGTATATTTTACTTGCTCTTACTCTTCTATCACTTTCCTTTTCCATTTTATACTTTTTTTTCCATTATATCTAAGCATCTATATCTGCTTCCTCATTTTTCGTTTCTTCTCCAAACTGTGTATACTATCAGCTTCTATATTTCTTTGTTCCGTGACTCTACCTACCAGTATTAAATTTCAATTTTCCAATGGACGAAAAATCTTGTCAATCCACCGCTCACCTACGCGCCTGTCTACTCTTACCTGTTCTCTTGCTGCTCAGTTTCTTACTTGCTCTGTCTGCTTACTTTTTTGAATCTGTTCACTATCTCCTTTATCTCTCTTACTACATTCTTTCGACTCTCTTTGAGATCTTTCTCATTTTTCTTGTTTTCCTCTTTTTTTACTTTTTTGTGTTCTAATAACTGTTCTCTTCGATCCTACCATATTCTTACAACCTCAGAGTATTTATTTTTCTCTGACTACTCTTTTATCAATTTTTTTTATCATAATTCAATCTCTAGATTTTACCATTTTTTCTCTTCTTGACTTTATTGGTTTCTAATTGTGCCTTCATCTATCTTACCGTATATAACCTTGTCTATGTTATTTTTTTGAGTTTTCTCCTACTTTTTTCATCTTCGAATTTTACTTTCTCGTCATCTATGCTTGTATTATTTTTTTCTTGATTTTTTTTTTAATTTTCTTTACTTTTTGTCCTTCAACTGTGTCTTTATTATTTCTATGTTTTTATCTCATTGTTCTTTGGATCGTGTGCTAGCTTCTCAATTTTTTTCTTGGCTTTTCTACCTGTGTCTTTGTTGTCTTTTCATTTCTTGTATTTTACTTTCGTTACAATCGTGTCTTTAATGATTCTCTTATAACTTCTTTGTCTTACTGTTCTCTTAGTCTTTGCCTTCTTTTAGTATCTTTATTGTTTCTGTTCTTTCTTTTATCTCTTGTAACTCCCTTTATTATAGTGTCTCTTAGTTTTTTCATTTTTATATTGTCTTATCTTTTGGCTAAAGAGTTTTCTTTCCATCCTCCCATTTTTTTTTTATCTTTGCTTAAAACTTTTTGTCTTACATATATTTTTTTCTTTTCATATATTCTTCAACTATCTTTCTATCTTTTGTAAATTTGTTCTTTCTTTTCTGTTACTTTGAACTTAATACTTTTTTTTCTTACTTGTACATATTTTTTCCTGTGCAATTTTCATCTTCTCAGCTTTTCTATCGAATTTATTTTTATAGCTTTGATTTCAATTATTGAAGAGGTAGAAAATATTTTATTTGCTTCCTTCTCTTTATACTTCTTTACTAGGCGCGTTAAGTTTGGAACTTTCATTTTAATGTCTTGATCTCTCCCAAGTTTGTTGATCTCTTTACTCTGTAAATTTACCATTCACTTTATCTATATTGTAGTGCGTTTGTATTTCTAGAATCAAGTTTCTGTAAATAGTGCTTTTTTTGTTACTTTGCTTGTTTTTTCTGTTGTATTTTCGTTTCTATCTTTCTATCTGTCATTTAAATTTACTCTTACATTCTAAAACTAACTCTGTAGTTATTCTTTGTAGTAATTTTTTTCTTTTTTCTAATATGCTCGAAAAATGTTTTCTTTACGGTCGACTACTTTTTCGTATATTCCTTATGTCTGTCTAGTCCATATTTTCTTGTGATTTTCTAAATCTGTGTTATTTTATGTAAATATCTGTAACTTTTACTCAATTTCGCTGAAACTTCTATTGCTATGCTTTCGATTTTAATTCTTATTACTTAGCCACTTTTTTCCAATCATTTTTCACATACCTACAGTACATCCTTTCTCTGTGTATTACAAATCTATCAAATATTTCTAATTGATCTCTCAAGTATTTTCTCAAAACCTCTTATTTCTTTCTTATCTGCTATCACAGCCAAAAAAAATAAAAAAAAAATAAAAAAATAAATAAATAAAAAATAGATAAATACAAAAAGTTTGTTTTGAACGAAAAAAATTGATAAAATTTTAAAATTTCAAAGTTTTGCCTGAAGAATTTATATGGATATGATTTTCTGTTGAATTTCGCAAAAATTTTGACATTAAGACATTACAATTGTTGTTTTTTATTTAAAAATGACGAATAAAAAAGCATTGAAAAAAATCACGCTGTTTTAATACCCTATTCACTCCACAAGCTAATTCAATTATTAAGTCAATTAACTCCATTCTTTATTAATTTTCAATCAACAATTACTGTAACTTTGAACATCAGTAACAAGAAAAATGAGTATTTACATATCTTACAGATTAAAAAAATATTTCGTAAAAATCGAGTTGAGCAAAGGCACGTGGGTGTTTGGAGAAATTTGTGAAAAAATAGCATCTCTAAGGATTTGTATTTTTTTTTTTAAATACAAAATTCAAATGCTCAACTCGACGGGCTTGACCTCCTGGCCCTTGTAATTCTCCAGAACAGGATAGACCTCCTCCTTCAAAAACTCGATGACCTGATCTGGTGCTCTGCCAACAAAAGTCGACGGATCTAGAAGAGAATCCAACCGATCTAGGATGGGCTCGAAGTACTTGTCGTTGCGGATCCGATCAACGAGATCGTTGTCCTTGCCGTGCTGCTTGACCTGGGCACCCGCCTCGTGAGACAGCACACGTATTTTTTCATGGCACACCTGAAAAAAATTCACGACATCGATCTCCTTCCACAAAAAATCGAAAAGATCGGTAAGGATCGGTTAGTCGATTACCTGTCTGTCGCCGCCAGCCTTAACCATGGCCATGATGACATTCTCGGCCGACATAAACGGCAGCTCCTGAGCAATGTGTCGAGCAATGACTTTGGGGTAGACCACGAGGCCCTCGGTGATGTTCTGCAGAGTCATGAGGACAACGTCAGCCGAGAGGTAAGCCTCGGCCAGGGTGATGCGCCGATTCGCCGAATCGTCGAGGGTACGCTCCATCCACTGGTTGGCCGCGGTTTGCAAGCAATTGTTCACGAGAGTCATGAGGTGGCGAGCTATGCTGCAGCACCGCTCGCTGCGCATCGGATTTCGTTTGTACGGCATCGCCGAGGAACCGATTTGGGTCCTTTCGAAAGGCTCTTCGATCTCCTTCATGTTTGCGAGGATTCGGATATCGGAACAGATCTGACGGCGTGAAAGGACAACGGTTAGTCAGGTGTTTCCAAAAATATGTTTACACCTCCGTTGTTTAAAATGATATTGTTAAGTACCAACCTTGTGCACCGTAGCGCCCAAAGAACCGAGGGCGTTGATGCACTCCAGATCGACTTTTCTGGTGTACGTTTGTCCGGTGACGGCGTAGTACTTTTCGAATCCCGCCATCCGCGTGACCGCGTGGTCGAGCAGCTTGACTTTTTCGCTGTCCCCTGACGAGTAAATATGCGAGAGTTTAGAGTTGCTAAACACTAATTCAAAATTAAAAATGTCCCACACAACGTGGCAATTTACAGCAATAACCATAATTCAATGATTGGTGTGCTTACCATTGAAGAGCTGTAGGAAGGAAGCCTGGGTGCCGGTGGTGCCTTTGACGCCACGGAAGCGCAGGTCGTTCCTGGCTCGGCGGATCGCTCGCTCGTCCATCAGCAATTCCTGCAGCCAGAGCGTCGCCCTCTTGCCAACGGTGGTCAGTTGAGCCGGCTGCAGGTGCGTGAACCCGAGAGTTGGGATCGAGCGATTGTCCAGGGCGAACTGAGCCAGACGCTTGATGACCGCGGCGAGTTTTGGCAACAGGATGTCGAAGCCATCCCGGAGAACGATCAGGTCCTGGTTGGCAGAGGAAGAAATGATCGATTATCAACTGGACGAGTGATCTTGTGGTTTACACACCACGCCGTACCGTATTGTCGCCGACGTAGCAGCTGGTCGCGCCGAGATGGATGATCGGAGCGGCTTTGGGGCACTGGTCTCCAAACACGTGGACGTGGGCCATGACATCGTGCCTCGTCGCCTTTTCCTCCTTGGCAGCAGCTTTGAAGTCTATGTCGTCTTTGTGACGTTCCATCTCTGCAATTTGCTCCTGGGTTATCGACAATCCCAAGTCCTGCAACAAAACCAGGTTGGCCTTTTATTCAACTGTTCGTAGACATTCGTAGGAGTTGACCTAAAGAAAATTGATCGTAGGGCAGTAGTTTATGGGTGTAGTAAGTATGTGACAGCTCGAAGCCCAAGAGTTTTTGATGATTCATCTAAAAATACATGTGTGTACATAGTCCTATATGACTCCATCGGCCATACGAAACATCGGTAACAAAGTTTGCCCTGAGAGAAAAAAGAAGCGCAAGCTCCCATAGGCAATATGGGCCATCGCCGTAATAATCACAAATGCAGGAACACATGGACCTACATTATGCGTCCCTCCCCGATCACGAACCGGTAAACTGAGAGAGAGAGAGAGAGAAAAAATGGAGATAAGAAACGGCCGGAGAAGACCGTCGCAGGTGCGTATACTCGATACCGCTTTGCATCTCCCTCTGTTCCGAGCAAGGCACACCCGTTATCATCAGATTAGATAAGGAGGGCTTGGCTCCCCGACTCTTTACGCACAACTTTTTTACCAGCTCTTTCAGTTCACGCTAGTCGTTGCCACCGTCGACGCACCGACGATTGTTCCGAAGAAGTTTTGGGTGGCGAAAACAGTGCAGTGATGAACGGCGAAGAAAAGGTGTCGATCCAGACTATTGGCGGCATTATACTCAAAGTCGTCAAAGTGGTGAGTGATTGGCCGGATTGTCGGATCGATTTTAGAGATACCCTACGTCTCATGATTAGAGTGGGCCAAACATTTGGAGGGTTCTGAAGTGTTTTTTGAATATTCGCTGCAAACGGTGTCTCGTGTTGATTGTATTTTTAATTTTACGGCATTTTTTCGATCTGCAATCTTGATAACGCGTTGTGTATGAGATTTTGATAAAAAAAAAATTTGTTATACCACGACTTATTTGGATAAAAACTCAATGGATCAACACAGTGAGACACGAAATAATTTTTTTGTTTTTCAAGTAGAGCTCGAAGGGCCGAAAATAATACAAATACCCTGTGTGAGACGCGGTTGTATGGGCCCAATGAAAGAATGTCTTGAGCGCACAGTTGTGATTCACGCAGGTGTACCATCAGCTATACAGTCACCCAAGCTCGGTATTGTTTGCTGAGCGATACCGAGCGTAAATATACATATATGTGTGTAACATGTGAGACATCGGGATTAAATGTGTGTAACCACAAGTATACGTTTGTCCCAGATGGGTTCGAATGAACGAATGGTGCAACTTGTAGATGTTTATTTTTTTCTCTTACACGTTATTATTTGACCAGTATTGGTATGTATCGATTTACTTAAAACTTTTAATTGACATTGACGTTGCGAAATGCACGAATACATGGTTGGGAAGGCAATCAAACTTCAATTGTAGTATTAATTGGCACATCGAAAAGCAGATTGTCAAAGGGAAATTGAATTTTCAGCTGGTGAACATAGTCATCTTGATAATCTATCGAACTGGTTACGGCGGCGAGTTTCTGGGCGTCGGCGGGACATGGAATCTAAACGAGGAAAAGAGTCCGGATGTCGAAATAATAGCGTCCGGCATTTTCGTGGGTTTTTTCATCTACACGTCCGTGGTGCTTATCAGTTACTGCTTCGGCACTTTGGAACATAAAAAAACCATTGTGGTGGGTACAAACATCTCGATAAAATTACGTTTTGACCCAAGAAAGTTGTTTAACCATGTAATTACTTCGAAAATTAGGAAATCATAATGAACTTCATCGGCATGTTTATGTTCATCGTAATTGGAGGAATTGCCCTTCACTACTGGCACGGGTACATGTCGGAGCACAAGTACATTCACATAGCGACCGAGAAACAGGTATTTCACTCGACTACTCTTCTTTTCATTAAAAAATTCAATTTAAAAAAAAATAATAATAATGATGATTCTCATTGACAGGTTGGCATAGCGCTCGGACTGCTGTGCATTTTCGAAGGCTTGGGGTACCTTTTGGACCTCATATTCACCGTCATGCATTATCTCGAAGATGTATACTAGTAATTTTTTTTTTTTTACATGTTAAAACTAATAAATAATAATTTTACAAACAAAAATCACACAAACGCCATATTCACAAGAGTAAAATGATTTTACAATAACAGATTCACAAAGTCAAAATTATTTCGTTCGTCGATGATTCATAGCAACAACGTGTTCACGTGCAGATTAAAAATTAAATTTTTTTACATTGCATATTTTTTTAATTTACGCTTTGCGTTCACCGTAACGCCGCAAATGACGAATATTGCGGAAACATCTACTGCAACGTACTTATATGCCGATTACAATATGTTATTTAGTATGAATAAAATATTTTATACGTAACACTCGTCTCGCTCGTCATATCAACCATTTCTCATCACGTTAAAAAGTATTTCTTTTAGATTATTATTAAATTACATCATATAAAATAATGTAACGTTTTGTATAATTTATTATATAATGTAGTATAATTTATAAATGTTTTGTATTATGATTGTTAAAAAATATTATATTGTAAAAATATAAGTAATTGCACCCGAATTGTAGATCGATCGAGTTTAAAATGTAGAGTAAACAGCCGTCCATACAATAATGATACCTCGTACGAATTCACACGTAGGTATCGCCTTTTCGTATCGTAAGCTCAATTGATTGTATTTGTATTATTTTTAATTTATCGTAATAAAATCACAGACAGTGGAAAAAAATATAACCAACAAGTTCGATTTTCTGCTCCAAATTCAATGAATCGTCGCAAAATGGCAAACTTGCGGTAACTTCAGACTGCTTGTATCAGGCTGTTGATATTTTCAAGTGATTTTTCTCATGCTGTAATTCGAAACCGATTTAGGTGAGAAGAAAAAAAAAATAAAAATAGGTAAACAGTGAGATGGCCAAATCCGCGAGCGAATTGATGAAAGATCCGAATTTCGGATTGAAAGTCATCGTATTGGTTAGTGCTGCGCTTCACCTCACGTCGTACATCATAACCAATAAATGAAATTTTATTTTGTGATCCTATAGATTATAGGAATTTTAACGAATCTACTCCTCATTCATCCGACGGTATCTCGCACCTACTACTCGACGGTCATCAATGGATATCATTTTTCTTTTCTCACGCTTATCGGCACGCTTGTTATAGCTTGTATTTTTTTTAAGGCCACCAAAATTACGGTACGCATTAATTTGTGTTAATGATGACTAATTAATTTTTTCCTGATTTTAAGAGAATAATAGATCCTCTTGAAAAAATACTGATCAAAGTCAAAGTAATGTTGTGTTTATTGTAGGAACTGTGCTTACTTGTCGCTGCTCTGGTCAAACTAATAATAATAACCAGTTTCGCGGACAGCCAGAACGTCCACTGGGATGAGCGTGACGTTATAGTCACCGATAGCGAAAATCGTGTAAACGTTGGTAAGTTTGATAAAAGCAATACTTACAAATATTTTAAAAATTCTTATCGAATCAATCGTTTAAAACGTACACTTGATTGTTTTTTTTCTTTCTTACAGGAAAAAAGGACGATAAATACTATGCGTTTTTGAGCACCAACGTTGTCTCTATGATCCTCATCGTGATAAACATTATTTTACGAATAAATAATAAATACGTGTGATTTGAAACTTGAAATTTTTTTATTATACTACATTAAACGTTTGTACAATAAAACAATAGTAAAAAATCAATCACGACTAGAGTTTGTACAATGAAACTGCTTTGTGTCTTTAAGTTAGATTTGCGTTTTATTTTTTTTATAAACTATGAGCAAAACTAAATCCAAAGCAACCAAGATTCCTGAAAATGATAAAAATGTAAAAAATACGTGTTGGTTATTGTAACGACAACAATAATACCTGTTATAAGTGGATACAAAGCGTGCTTCGACGAGTACATGGTTACCGAGACCAACATCACGCAAAAGTAAGCCACCAGATTGAGGATTTCCTGAAGTAAAGGACTCGTCGATTAATTTTGTCAAAACTGATAATTTTTATCGAGTAGTTGAAGAAGAAAAAATGTACCAGCCAAACGCTTGGGTCCTCGAATACGTAAGCAACGACGTAGGCGAGCGAGACTAGGGACCATCCGTCCAACGACCAAATGCGATAGACGTACGCGGTGTCGTGCAGCGCATAAATGCCAATCAGACACACGATCTCAAATTGAAAAATTTTCATGAAAAACAATATAACATGATTAAAAAAAAATTCAAGTTTCGTCGAGGTTAGATGTTTTTGCTCAAAAAAAAACTTACCAACTCGGCCAATCGCAAAATAAAATTAAGGTCTTTGATGAGGACGGTGACATGTTTGGCCATTTTAATTTTTTAAACGATTGGCTTATCAAAGCAAACGTAGTTTTGTCGATCGATAAAAATATGTTGACTAAAGGACGAAATGGCAACCTCTCTTCGGACGACGCCGTGAACGACGACGATGCGTGAGTCTTTTGTTTCGCTTTGATTTCGAAAACGAAACATCTCGATTCACGATACTTAAAATGATATAAAAATCGTTACTTTTTAACCCACACGCAAACATTTTGTTCCGGAACATTCACCCAACCCACTCGGTCGACAGCCTAAGCGACGAGACATGTGACCATCGTACAGTTACGTACGCACTAGTGCACCTATACATGTATTGCCATGTGTACCAATTAGTCCTACTTGACCTGAGCAGCAATGGGATGTGAACAACAGAAGCAGCAGCATATTATACCTCCATTATCGTACTCGGAATTCCGATCTCCTTTGCCGCTATTGTTTCCCTCTTGGGCTAACGTGGCTACTGCAATTTAGCATTTGGTCCCATTAACGGAACAAACAACGGGACCTGCATCAATAAAACCAGATATGACCATTGCCGGTGCGAAAAAATTTTCAAATCGGTAATGGGAAAGGGGGCGGGAGTGGCATTGTTATACTTTGATTTCGAGCTGGAATGGCATCATCTCAAACTCGACCTCTACGCCAAAGAACGTCGATCCCTGGCAATTACGCGATGTTTCTACATCTGGCGCGACTGATTCATTCATCCATCGCATCGAAAATCCTATGGTGAAAAAAAAAAAAAGGAAAAATGGTTAATGAGTAAAATAAAAATGAGGAAGCCCTGACTCACGCGCGCATCGTATATTATAATAATAACACACTTGGCAGTTACGAGAGCCGCACCCATGAGTCGGTAGGTATATACGTGCTTGTACAGCAACGTTAGCGATTCCCCTCTCAATTCCACCTCTTTTTAGTCATGCGTGTGTTTGTGTGTATAATAGGTATAATACACAAGTGTGTGGTTTACTTCGCGACACATTCACGCTCGCGTTTAAACACGACATTCTTCTTCCTCTTTTACTTACACCTTTTTTTTTTACACTAAAAAAACGCGCACATGTTACGGCGATTTTCCACTATTTTTTTCAACCCATGATTAAAAAATGTCAAGTTTACGCCATCAAAGTCAAATTTGCGATCTTATTGACCATAATAATGATAAAATTTGTGATGCGTATAGACGTAGGCACTCTTTTATACATAAATACACACATGGCCCGGATCGACCGACTTTTATAAGCAACAATGTGGGTATAGGTGTACAACCCACTCGATGCACAGGGAGCACCGATTCGTCTACCTACCTACTTACCTACTGTACGAAGTGTATCTTGAATCCAGCCTTTCGTTTGCTCTATTGATCGCCGCTGTATATGCATACATAGCTATCACCTTTGATAATTCGATGCCTGTCAGTCTCCCATAAGTATACGTACACACCGATGGCGTGCAGAAGAATATGACAATTTGTTCTCTCATGCACACATCGATACGTGTACCTATCGCGATAGGGTAAAGCACGTAACGTGTCATTTATATCCTCACGTGCTGTTCTCTCGGCTCACTTTCTCTCTCTCTCTTTCATTGCTTTCGCCTACTTGTTGCGTCTATTCGAATGGGGGGGTATTTTATGCAAAACTCGAATTGTAAAGAGGAATAGGTATTTTTCTTTCTTTCTTTCTTTTTTATCAGCACCTGCGAGTATGTCGATCTAAAATTATATGTAGGAAAGGAAACAGTTTGAATCGTGGATGGTCATAAAACGTGTGGAGGAAATAGTATAGAAAATGAAAGTATCCCTGATGAGTTTCAGAAAAAGCTAGTTAACGAAACAAACAGACTCGACCACCGTGACGATAATGCGCCGTTCGGTGGTACGCATCCTCTCACAGCTACATACTTTCGGTAATTTATTCCCGTGACTCTTTGAAAAGAAAAATCAACCAATCCACGTCTCTGCCGTATAGTAAAAAAATTCTTTGTCTGTACGAAATAACGATACAAACCGGCAAGCAAATTTTTGTCGTCTTACGGTGACATTTGCTGCGATCATCGGCATTGACGCACGAGTGCACACCGTGTGTGCGCGCAGGGGACTCCTTAGAAGCGTTGGCGTACACAAGTGCACACTATATACATGTATCGTGATGCACGCATTGCAGAGCCGGTGTTCGGTGTCGACTCCCTCTTTCGTTTCTCCACTGAATACCTCGCGATACTCCGATATTACGCTAACAAACCTTTTGCGAATGCGGTACGTTAATGGTGGATCTTGACATTTTATTCTTTATTTTTCAAGGATCCTCCATCATTGTTGGAATTGTTGTTTCAAACGACAAACACGTTTGTTGGACGTGAAAGATACTTTTGAGATTTTGAGAGATCACTAGAATCTTGTATTTGTATCGGTATCCCCGATCGATACAGGAAACGATCGGTATGAAGATCGGTAAGGAAAGGATCACGGTGTACTCAACCTGATTGTATGTTACAACGAATTTCTCAACGTTATAGCACAAAAGAGCAACATAATGGTCCAGAAAACACGCACCAACATCCATCAATCAAACCATGTATAGATCCTCTCCAACACCACCGGCAAGATCGTCAACGACCGGCAACACGATTTTACCCACCCAAAGGCACGTTTGTAGCGTAACAGGGGCTCAAGCCAAGAGAGAATGAGAACAGAATGTGTGCTACAAGTAAACGGAGGAGAACCTGCGCGCGCTGTTTCCATCGGCGAGAGGTAGGTAGGTATATGCCGATCGACAGACTCGGCGTGGAGTAGAGTTACAGTTCAAGTTGCGCCGCGCCACGCGACTATACTCGTTTTCTCCTTTTCCTCGCCACTCCGATCCTTCTCTCTTTCTCCATACGTGAATTCCTGGCTATAAATCGGGGCGTTGTTTGTTTGGCGGAAAGTTTTTGGCTCGCCAAAATCGAGGCTGTGCACCACACCCAGGGGAAAAAGAGGCGCAACCGATTTCGGAGACAATACACACGACAGGTAAGCGCGACGGCTCCGGAATGACAACGTACCCACGTATATAATAAGTATGTATACTCTCGGTGTCGCAAGGATATTATAATACAACGCTTGCACCTATTATTGCTGCGGCAGGACGACACCTTTCGGAGCAGCGCCTGCGCGTACATGGCTGTTTCTGTTTGCGGGGTACGCGTATACGCGCTACTCTCTCCCGTCTCTCTTTCATTCTCGTATGCATCAGGTATATTATATAGAGATATATACTTACTTACTTCTTACTTTTTGCGTTTCAATGTATACGCACATACGCAGTATGTACGCGTTAAGGTGCTCATACGCGAGTATTCAAGCGTCGTGGGAGGATCGATTGTTGTATGTACGTGCCTGCGCGTATGACTGAGGTGTAGGTACGCACTTTTTATGCCCCTACACCCATGGTTTTTAGAGCACAAAAAAAAAAGCACGCACACGCGAGTCATTTGGGTATTGCGAGTCGGGGCCGCACCTTGATCGGTTGAAGATTCGGGGGCAGGTGAAGGTATGTGTGTGGCGGTGTGGATATGATGTAGAGATCAATTTTTTGGAAGATTCGGGCGCGAAAATGGTGCAGGATTTTTTATGTGTATACAAATAAAAGTATACGTCGCGGCCTTGAATGAAGTCGGTACGTAAACAGAAGCGAGTTCGGTATGTGTATACGGTATTTTACAATCGTGTCAACGGTCAGCCTCTGCAAAGAAACACCGAGTCGAAGTTAAATTCTTTTTTTTCATGGTCATAATAGTATATATATATTTCCAATGAACCTGGGAGATTGAAAGATTTTTGCTGTAAGTGAATTAAATACAAAGTGAAACAGTTGGACGTGAGTTTCGGTTTTGGTTGTAAACGATACGTCTTTTATTGTTATACGTTGGCAAAGATTTACCAATTTTGCGTATATTATGCAAAAATTCCAGTGCAAAGTCCAAAAACACAATTATACGTTATACTTTGTACGCCACACGGTTTATTTGATTTAGACGTAGCGAAACGAGAGTAAAAGCAAAGGAAAAAAAAAACCTCTACTGCCGCTGCTGCTTAATAATGCATCTCGCGTCCTATTTCTTTTGATGAGGGGAAGCTTTCATCGAATTAATACCGTATGCGAACGAACCTCGAAAATTGGTCGTAGAGTCACTTTTTTTTTTCCGCTGTCAGCTCTGTTTTTTACGACTCATTGCGCTCATCTTAGTCACCACTTGAGCTGGAAGATGAAGGAAACGTGAAATTCCGCGATAATCTAATTTTTTCTAATTTTCTCGATCCAATGATCCACTTGCTCTTCCTGTACCGCAATAAAACATCCAGCATCCCACGAAAGGAATCTTTTGATTCGCGCCAATTGCGGCCTGTCAAGTGAGCACTGTGAGCTGTATACCCTCGTCTCTCCTTTGCATACGATTATGTTATGAAACAACTTTCTTTCTATGCGTTGCATGTGCGTTGAATACTACAGGTGCACGACAAGCTCGACCATGATGCTTTTTGGATACTTATTCAAAATTTTCCATTCCTTGCCTTTTTTGTTATTATTTAGGGAAAGTACAGGTCCGATAACTAATCAATATTCCGTCACTACCATTATGTCGTGAAGCGGTTTTTTGCATCGCGTACCCGTAGACTGTTAATTCGGTTTAGTAAATGATGAATTTGTAGTCTGTGTGCACGTCGGTAAATCCACTGGATATTCAAGAACAGCATATTTGTATATTAGGGTGTTTTAGTCATTTATCAAATTGTTCCTTATTCTTGAGCTTGAAATTCAGAAATCCATCTCAAAACTTGACAAAAACTATATTTTTAATCATCAATAAACTTATGTTTCAGAGTAGAGAAGGATTGATTTTTTGTAAAGGGTCAATATTCGAAAGACAATTTATGCTTTCAACTCGATGCGTTTTATTAATGGTAAAAACTGTAAATCCATTGACATGCAAAACTATTTCACTTAAAATTTGTTTTCCTTCTTCAACATTGAAGTAGGGATCCATCAACATTGCTTAGCAAGAAAGTCCAGATCGTTCATTAAACGACGTTCATCGAACAATGATGAAAAAATGAAAAGGAACAAACGTTTTTTTATTCAATTTTAATCAAATCACGCGGAGATGTTGGTGTTGCGCCATCGCGCGTAAATAATCTAGAAGAGGCATGAAACTACGTAATTAATAATTTTGCAACGGCAAACAATAACGTGCACGCAAGATGAAGAACACGTAGGATGATTGTCGTGAAGAAACAAGGGTATACCCACACGACGAAGACCAACGTGCCACGGGAAGCCGATTCAATGGACGGCAGAAAGCGCGCTCGCGATAATTACAGACTGAAGAAAGAGGCAACAAGCAGCGAGCGAGAGAGCGCTTATCGCGTTCTCAATATCCATCGAGGCTGCAATGCCGCGGTGTGGAGCAAAACAGTGGCTGAGAGAGTGACCAGCCACCGAGGAAATATTTGTGACTCTCCTGGTTCTATTGTCCTGTCCTTTGATAGCGAAAGATAAATTTTCTGTTTTCCAGAGTCGGGACGAGCGACTGGGTTTATATGACGGCGGAGTCGTCGACGAGACGCTTCAATCGGTGAGGAGGAATTGACGGGGCAGCAAGTCTTTTTCGCAAGAGCTTCGAAGGAGAAAGACTAAAGGTACCTACACCCAAAAGCCCACCAGAGAGCGGAGAGGCGTACAAAGAGGGGCGAACAAACTGGGAGATAGGCGAGGGAGGCATACACGTGTCAGGATGGCCGACGAAGGTGGTCTCCAGAATTTGCGCGCCGAGAAAGATGAGGACAGCTCCGCTTATCGCAAGTGGCTGCTCTTCAAAGTCGGCGAAGTGGTCAGTACTTACTCAGTTCGTCGCGTTTACTCGATAGGATTGCGTTTTTTGTTAAATCGCTTTAATATACAAACAATCGCAGAAATAACCCATTGTGTATCATCTATTGTTTAAGTAATACATGGTTAGTCGTCGATTTAAACTTGTAGTCTTCAAGTATGTGAAAAAGGTTGCAAAAGACTTGGAAAGGCTTTAGAGTCATTTGAGACTATGAAAAGTTTTTGAGAGTCTCTTCAAGCTTATGAATAAGTTTTTAAGTCAACTTGAACATTTTAAAAGTCATCTCAGTCTTTTGATGTTTTTTGAAAAATGCAAAAGTCTCAAAACACTTTAAAGTGATGTCAAAGTCTTGTAAAGTCATTGAGAGTCTATAAAAGTTTACTATGTAGACTTAAAAAGTCCACTGAAAGATTTTAAAGCTGTCCAAGTAACTTGATAACTTCAAAGTCTGTTTAAAGTCTTTTAAAGACTGCAAAACTTTAAAAAGATTTGAGAGCCATTTAAAGTCACATAAAGTCTTTGAGAGGCTCTTAAAAGCTTACGAAAAACTTGGGAGGTCTACTGAAAGATTCCAAAGTCAAATGAGATTTCTGATGACTTTTGAGTCCCTCACAGTCTTCCAAAGACTACAAAAATCTTGAAAACATTTTTGGACTTTTTACCGAGACAGCCCCTCGTTAATCAACGAAGAACCCATCGATCAAATCAAAATTTTTCTTCCCAGGTACTGTCCATAATTGCGATAGGGCTGATCGTCGACCCGTTCGACTCGTTCTCCCGCATCTTCACGCACCAGCCACATCTGAAGCTCAGCGACGTCGCCATGATATACGTGACCCTGGCGGGATTCATCATCGTCAACGGCATCTCCGTCCTCGCCTTCTTCCTTGGAGATCGCATGCCCAAAATAACGGTAATTTAAAAAAACATATACACGCTCACGTGTCGTAACGAAACTCTCGATGGATGGTAAAAAAAAAAAAAAAAAAAAAAAATGCCATTTCCAGGCGCTACTGTTCACCGGATTGGGCACGATAATGCACCTGATCGCGGGCGGCTTGATGTTCCACAACTGGAAGAAGCTGAACGGCAACTACGCCTACGTCTACAACAACCACACCTTTGGCAGTAAACTCTACCTGGACATGCTGATATCCTCGACGGCCATCACCTTCATCAACGGCCTGCTCTTCGCTGGAGATGTCTTTGTCACCGTCAAGTACTACTAAAGACAAAAAGCCAGAGACAAGTGTCATGTTAGCATCCCTCCGTATATTTTATTGTTGGTATTTTTGCCCCATTACCTTTCTTCCATAGTTCGTGAGTGCCATTCGAGCCCTCGAAGATATTAAAAATTAACGCACGTGGCCCTCCCGTGAAAAAAGAATTTTTTTTCCCTTTTACGTAGTTAGTGCATGATTATCTTTGTGAAATTGAACGCGTGAGAGTATTTTTGTACGATCCGTTGCAGTTTGAGGATATAGAATCGTTGATCAGAGTACGAGGTAAATTTAACGCGATTTCGATTTATTTTCAAAGCTAATGCGTGTAACAAAAACACGTGCTTTTGGCCTATAGAAATTAGACGTTTATAGCTTTTTAGTCGTAGACTATACTTTGTCCGTCCACTAAGTTGTTCTTTTTCGTAAACGCATAACAACTTACGCTTAAATTCCAAAGTAAAACTGTTATGACGGTTGTTTTCAAAGTCAACGTTTTAACAAATGGACACTTTTAAGTACTGAAAAAAATCAATTTGTTGGTTTACGTACCGATTGAATCGATCACATCTCAAACGCTAAAGATTTTCCATAACGGTCCATCGAACCACCACCGAATCTCGAGAGATTATTCTTTCATTTGAACGAACGAACCGTTTGTTAACTATATTTATAAAGTATTAAAATAAAAAACAATGTTCTATCCGTCCAACGCAGATTCGCATCAGCGTATAATATATTATGTATAAGTGCGCAAGTTAATGTGCGATTAAAAAATGTGTACGCATCACGTCGTTGCGCGACGTTACAACATAAAAAGAGTCCATCTTGCATATTCATTGCACTTTAACGTCTTCGCGCGCGGCTATGTGTATAAGCGACAGAGCTTTTGTAATTAGCTCTACGAGTCCGTCCATAATCGGTATAATTGTATCATATAAGTCAAACGAACGATTGATCGCTCGATCGTGTTCGTCTTACTGATTAGGACGCACCTCTTCTCTTTCCTCCCCCCATATCGTGCGTCCAAGTTGTAAGTGCCTACATTACGTATCTATACCTATAAATTTTTTGTCACGGTTGCCTGACAGTTTTGTACGTCTATAGATACCATTTATTAACGTTACGTCTCTTTATTATTCAATGTATTTTGCTTGACGAGCGTGTGTAATATAGTTTGATACGCGTGTGCTCAATGGGCGTACACTTTTTACCGTCCAAGTTTGAATCGAGTGAAAATTTGCAGTTACTCAAAACTATAAAACTCACTTGCAGAGCAACTCAAAGAAAAAAAGTCGATTTTCGCTCTTAACAAGAATTTTCACATTCGGGAGAGAGGAAGAGTAAATTTTCACTCGATTCAAACTTGGAGACAATGTAAAATTACACACAAGGCGATAAAACAGACTCCATGTGTGATGGAAAAAAACCAAGTTGTACAATTTTACGATGAATGTCTGCAACGCATCCACATGGACTAAAGAGATTTCAATAAAACTGAAAAGTAAAACCTAATCCTACATGGTTCGCATATGTGATGTGATGTATCATTTTTTGCACCCAACGTCAGGTGATTCTCCGTCATCGGCGATGACAACATTAGCAGGTGTCCTCTCAACTTAACCCAAGGTCCCATAAAAAAAAAACCCCCCAACATGAGCACCGGAACGAAGGCAGGCCAGTCGATAAAGCCGATCTACGCGGCGCCGATCGAAGCTTGCGGGCGCGCCAGCAACAAGGTCCCCTGGGCCAAGCCCATAAGGATATATCAGTTTGTAATTCCACTCATTCGTTGTCCGGGAGTATTTGCACGGACTGATTGCTGGATAAACGTGAAACACAGGTGGTCATAGTGGTGCTGTTTACCCTGACGATCGTCAACGAATCGGCCTACGGACCCGACGAGCGCGTCTTCGTGTTTGCCGTGATCGGTATCTTCCTGGTCATAACCTTGGTGGACATGATCAGCCAATGCGGCAGCGATCCCATCCTCGACACACCGGTGGGTAGCTAATTTTTTTTTTTTTTTTTTTTTTACGATCAACTATTCACCTTCGATCTCGACAGATGTTCCTGTTCGGGGTGCTCGGTTGTATTCTGTTCGTCATGGTTGCGTGCAGTATGTTCATGATGTCGAGGAAAGACAGCGCAACTGGCATCGTCATTCTCCTCGTTTCTATGGTGCTGTCCGTAAAGTGTGCCATTTTATTTCTCCTCGACGTTATACTCATTTTTCTCTATGGCTATTAAATTTCGCGCGAGCGATTTGGCGAGTGTTTCATTGAAAAATGCTCAGGCCAAAGCTTAAAACGATGGGAGGTACGTGGAGAAAATTTGATTAGTGGAGTAATTACGATGAAAACGTCCGCGCGTCTTGGAGGAAAAAAATGAAACAGCCCATCCCGAACCACAGAAGCGTAAAAACTAGCGCAAGACGTAAACTGTGCGTGCAACGAAGGTCTCCCGAGCCCTGCCCTATCTAATATATTACATACACAGCGACAGTAAGTACTCGATGTACACCATAAGTGATACCAGTTCCAGGACAGATCGTGTCGAGCAGCTCGACAAGCGGAAACGCAGTCAAGGTGGCCGTGTCCTCCTTCGACATCCGTGGCTCTCTCTCTTTCTGACCATTGCAATATCGTTTCGAGGACCCCCGCTCCCTGGAATGTTTTTTTTTTTCTCTTCTTGTTCATTTCATGTATAGGTACTCCAGACAGGCTGCATCGTGGGTAAGTACTGTCCCATTGTCGATCTTGCTCTGGAGTTCCGATTAGGAGGTCTCTTCTTTTGTTCTGCGCTGTCGCTTATACTCTTTTGATCCCATCCCCCCTCGCTGCCCCCGATGCACGAGCTCTTGCCCAATATTTGGACTTTCTCACGATTATCTTCTAATGAGGCCTCCCGGTGTACGCGCGCAAGCCCGAAAGGTAAAGTCTTCTGGATACGGCTGTTGTTTCTTATGGCTACAAATGATTGTACGCAAGTGTGTAGTTGAGTGCGGGGGTATGAGAAAGAAAGTGAGTCTATGCGAGGATTGTTAATTTTTAATAAATAAAAAAAAAACTTTATTGGATCAACCCTCGAACACGGCTGGTTAACAGTTGAGATCTGGTGTCGCAGTGACACGTACAATGCAGAAGGAGAGAGAATTTTGCAACAGGTGTTGACAAAAAAATAGAAACATGCGGTTGTTACAGTTGCCGTGTACTTGCGCAATTATACGAGCTTTTTTTTCCACTGCACGGACAACCTTATAGAAAATTTGAAAAGTACAAACATGTGTGGCAAATCGGTATCTTCATGCATGATGGTTGAATAATCTTTGACGCTGCAATATAGCTACAACTTAATACAATTAACTTAATTTTATCCCACATGCGTGGAAACGTAAATAAACTCTGAATTCGTAATCATTATTAGGAACTTTTCTTTCTTCGTATAGATCTATAAAATTACACCAAGTTAACATTGTGTGATTGTTTTTCATTAAGAAAATCTTTTGAAGTTTTAGCATGATTTTGTTTTTGTATATAAAATTGAAACATAATTTTATCTTTGTTGAATTATTTTTTTTTTTTGTTTTTTCATGTAGAAAAACTCGTCACTGGGTTCGTAAAAGAAGATAAAAACTTTATCAACGCTTCAATAAATTAATCCTATAAAATTTTACCACAAGATAATTTTTCATAAATAACTAGAATCAAAGAATTTATAAAAGCTACAACAATTCATTAAAATTTCGAAACATAAGGTATTATAAAATTTTATAGGAGGCATGGATTTATTCTAGACTCTACGTTTGGCGTACTAATGCAAAAAATGTCGTTTTTCATGACCAACTTATACCCTAAATAATGGAAATCCCGTTCAACATCAATCCATTTTGATTAAACGGCAGCCTCACGTTTTGATCATTGTAAAAATTGTTTTCAAAAACAGTCATGTATTCATGATTGTAAACATGTCTGTCATCAGGCAAAATCATATTCATCTTATTAAAATTTGACATCGCGTTCCATGGAAACTTGACATGATGAAAATTGTAGTTACCCTGGTTTAAACAATCGTTTTTACTTTGAACTAAGCCCCAAGGGAATCTAACTACAGAACAGTTTGACGGATGTAAGCATGGAGGCGTTTGAGGTACATTGGTGTATAAATTGTTTGTATAGTTAAACTCGTCCATGTCGGATGTCCTTGAAAAATCTGATAAGGATTCATCTGACCTAACAGAGTATTTGGTAGAATCATTAAAAAATTTAAGCTTACTGTCATTCAAACTTCCATAGCTATCATTAGAATCTTCTTCGTATAAAATTTGACTGTTATGAACAAAATTATAATTATAACAGCACATTTGATTATTAGGACCATTTTTCTTGTTATGAAAAGCAGGCACCCTTTGTCTACGGTTATTGTTTCTACATTCAAGTTTATTGTAGTCTTCTGACCAACACTTTCCTGCACCTTTAATGATCTCTCTGGCAACCTCAATATTTTCATCGGAGTGATAAATTGCACATTCTTCTACCTTTTGGGGAAAGAGAATAAATTGAAAATATGTACATGTACTTAAAAATTAATTGGGTGAATTAAAGATCGTTCACCAGCCTTAAAAAAAGAACGAGACTCGCTTTCATCACACCAGCCTGATTGCATTGGGAAAACATCCAAGCAGAGATCACACAACGAAGGAGGATTAAACTTTGTAAACAACTGATTAGATGAGTTTGAAATTAACCAGAGTTTCATCAGGCTCTCCTGGGGGTTCTCGACTGAGATCGCAACGAATGAACGTAACTTTATCTCATAAAAAATAATCTATACTCTTGTTTCGTAATAATGTTGTTATATCTCACCAACAAAGCACTTGCTTTCAATATCATATGATCAGAAATGTATGACAAAGAAAAAACAAAGTAAAACAAATAGTATCAAGTACAACGAACCATCTCGGCCTTTGCCAAGTAGATCCAGAGTTGACGCCACGTGCTGAACTTCTTTTGGTCGCTGAAGTTAAAACGCATCTCCTCGGAGGCATAGCGCGTCGCCAGTGGGCTTCTGTAGTCACAGTACTCACTGTTGTTTTGTGCCATTATTCAAGTAACGACTGCTTCGATTGAGTTTATATATTTTACTCTGCAAAAGCCGGTACTACTTTGCGACTCAATGTTTGGGTGATGTGCACGTTTACGCGACGCGGCGAACTGTATCAGCTGATTTTGAGAACCAACGACGACAACGTCGCCAAAGAAGAGTCGAGGAGTCTCGCCACGGAGCGGCGCTATCGAACGGCAGCTGATGCTTTTTCGGAGCAAGTGACTTGAAAGTTTGAATGTTTGCCATTCTGAAGGCGTGTTGTGTACAATACCACTCATTTACTTGAGAGATAAATCTTTAACTTGGCTAATAACGTTTTCAGAACATTTTGTGTTATTAATAAAATATTTCTACAAACCGAATAACAATGCTAATTCATCAAAGTTAACAACTAATTTGCTTGAAGAGACATTTATTTCTTTAAATTGTTAAATCGTGGTAAGGCCATTATTCAACTTTCTAAACCATGTTGTTATGGGCAAGAGCATTTTTCAGTCAGAGTGAACTACAACAAATAAAAAACATCATTCCACAGGCGATGATAAACTTTGGCTGCATTGACCTGCATGTTTTACGCAATAAGCGTTGTAGAGAAGCGCGAAAGAAGACAACTATTTCCCCTTCTTTTAATCACACGATCGCGCGCGCGTGCTTGATTTCCGCGGGCGATATCAGACGAGAAAAATGCGCGAAAATGGAACCGCAAGGTCGCCAAGAAGGCAAAGAACTTCTTAATAAGTACGTTCACGACGTTGGAGGGAGACAGTATATAGTACTAGCGAGTGAAAAGCCAGCGAGTGGCGTTCAGCGAAAGTACCCACGTTCTATTTTCACCCAGTGAGAAGACACGACTCGTTGTTGCGCTGCTTGGCAAGAATCACATGACTATGCTTGGACACTTTGTTGTTGTTGATTTTACTGACTGCTGATTCGCGAGTTTCGTTCTTTTTTATTGGACTAGTCTGTGTATTTTAGAGACTAGAATAGTGCTATCATTTAAGATACATTATCACAATAAAAATTATTCAGCTTTCCTTTCTCTACTTTAACTATTACTTTGTTTTCTGAAAAACTACAGGGAAGTTTTTCAAAATTCATGAAAATGATAAAAATCAAGTATCAGATAACATTATTCTGCTTGTAAGTTGTTTGGGCAGTAGCTTATTTTTCTCAATACTCACTACATTTTTAAAGATAGTTTTAGGGTCGGCCCAATCAACTCTGACGTCTGACTTGTCAAACAGCAAATTCCGTTCTGGTATCATTCTTCTTCTAGCCATGGCAGCACCCCTGTGAGTCTTGAAACGAATTAGTACATCTTTTCTTCTAGGGTTGTTCAGGTAAGTATACATCGATACTGAGTCAATCTCATCACAGTGCTCCCAAAGTCTCTGAAAATATGGAATAGAGAAAAATTCATATAAGTACTTTCAACAAGTTTCCCAAGAAAAATGAGAAACTTACTTTCGTTAAAGTTTTCACATCCACATGTGCAGGTAGTTCAGTTACATGTAGACGACAGTTGTTCAAACTCTTGATGACTCCGATGCACGATCCTGGGGCAATCTCGTAATTATTCAGTAATTTGACAGCTTGTTCAGCTGATTCTCGAGATGTGTACATGATGAAACAATATCCTCTGTTGTTGCCCGAAAAATGCATCATCAGGCGCATTTCATAAATTTCTCCAACCTTACTGAAGAGAGGATATATTTTATCTTCATAAATGTTCCTTGGAATTTTTCCCACAAATATTTCGCATCCTTCCCCAGGTGGAGGGCCTGTCCATCCAGGAGGTGGACCACCAAGTTTTCTTTGTCCATTCTTTTGAACGATTTCGACCCCCAATTGATGCTGTAGTTTCAGAACGTTTTGAATTGTTGTAATCTGATCTTCCAAACTGTCTTGACTGTAGTTGCTTTTGACAATTTCTTTGTTCGATTTATGGCTGTTTATCTCTGAAAAACCAAATAGATTTTACGAAACGACATGTGACAATTGCCTGAAAAGTATTTTACATCTACTTGTATGTAAATTTGAAATTATGATCCCCATAAAGCACTGATATGTACACACACTTCATGTATTTAGCAGAAAAATTACACCGTTGATTAAATATTTTTATAGGATAAGCAATAAACACACATGCTGATTCTGTCACACCTTGAAATTAATTATTAATAAACAAAGCATTACCAGAGATGAAAAAAAAAAGTTGACTTTCAGACCCAAACAACGCATTCATAGAAATTACCACGAATTCTGGACTTTTCTCACAGCTTGTCCAAATCCATCTTTTGTTAAAATACAATATCTCTAAATTCACTCACCAGGAAAAACCTTCTTCTGGAAGTAAACGGACTTGGGACTGATTCGCGGTATCCTCTTTCTGATGACATCTTTGTTCAAATCGTCATCGTCCAAGTGCAACCTCTCGAATTCCTCCAGCAAGTCGTTGTTGGGAAACTCCTGCTGCCACATTATTTCACGCGAATATTATATGATACAAGTCAGACGTCAAACAATTTGGCGCACACACACGCAAGTAACAACAAACACTAACGGAAACATAAACAATTAACAATACACGCACTATCAATAAAATCAAACAAAGACGACCGACTAGTGATCAGGTACGTCCCACAGCTTTGACAGACCAGGCTGGAGTGTCCCGTTGACGTTGGCCGGTTGGCTCGCTCTCGCAAATGTGTTGGCATGGTATATCTACTTTTTTGGCTGTGTGCTTGCAGGGCTTTTCGGAGAACTTTGCGATTTCAAGAACGGCCAACGGCAACGACCGTTGAAGCGTTCCACGTGCGCCCGTTTGAGAACCGGAGTTCGAGTCCTTTCGGCCCTCCCCCACCTAGCCTAACCTAGCCTATCCTGTGCAAACGGTCATTCTGATTGGACGGGGAGTCGGGGACGGGGACTTCGGAGAGATGTATCGAAGCGGGCGATACGTTGATTGTGTAGAGGCTGTACTTTTCTTTTGTGTAAGTGAATTGTTACTATTTACTTTTAATTTCAAAGTACAACAGCGTGTAAACCGTAGTATGGTAATGCGTAAGACTGTAAGCTCGTGCGTTTATTGTTCTAGTCGGAAAAACGTAATGGAGACGTCGTTGACGAACAAAGTAAATCGCGCTCGCGGCACGGGCGCCTGCATTGCCCCTTTCATTGGTAGATGTTATATATACTTTCCGCTCAATTCAACAATGCCTCCAGTGTACCTGAAGGGTAAGTATAACGTTCCGAGTAAGAATCTTCTAGGAATACTTATGTTGAGACCGTGAAAAACAAAAAACGGTTGGATGCTCGGAGGACACACAATTCATATTAAATATTCCTTGTTACCTATGGATCTGCTATAGATGCCTGTACCTTCATAGCAGCATTTGCAATCGATCAAATGGTGTGTCTCGGCATTGTACCTACAGAAGATCCGGTTCCCGGTACAGTATGCAACATTTTTTGTTTTTTATACCGCGATTAGATAGGTTAATATACTAGCCGCGGAGTGATTTTTATTTTCCGAACGGACATGTCAAAATAGATGTTTGTACTTTGTACAGATCATGCGAGCAATAAACGGTCAACCCCAGAAGAGAAGACGATGATAGTGACAACATAGACTTTCAATACGACGACGTGGTGCTGATGCATCATCACCCGTGCAGGTTATAAAAATGCGCTTGGCCAACTTCCACAGGAGCAAATGACTGCGCCTGCTGTACCTATTCCGATATACCTAGTGAATCGGGATTGCCGCTACCGCCCTTCTGATCTGTGAGTTTGAATTTTCATTGCATGCTTTTTACTTATTATAAGTTTTAACATGCGAGCAAAAGAACTGTCGTTCGTTACATAGCGACAAAGTTTGATGTACAGAGAGCGTAGATATTAGTGGATTTATTAGGCGCACACGTAAATTTGTTCAATGAGAGAGTTGTGTCATAACATGCAGGTCATAATACTCCAAGATCCTGTACTTATATAGGTTTACATAAATACAAATAGCCTTGAGGTAGGGTAACCCTAGGGCTCCCCGAATCGGAAGCTTTCGGAGCTTTGGACACTCGCAATCGAACAAATCTGATTGTTCAAAAATTTCTCCATCTAAATGCTCTACTTGTGCTAAACTACTATTTAGGTATAAGAAGTATATTATGTATAGTCGTACAGAAATATATACGAGTTTTACGGAAATTTTAGTTTTCCCGTCATAGCATCCACTGTTTGAAAGATTTAGCGCAATTACTCATGTACCTAATAAGTAATGTGTAATTATATTCACCCAATTCACGTAGACCACGCCCCCATGTTCAATCTTGATTTATCTTGATGAAATTGTTTTTTAGCTCTGCACCATATTATTACTCATTTAATTTTTTAATTTTTTATTTTAAATAGTCGTTTTAACATTTTGCTGCTAAAAATCGAAGCACAAAACAATGCTTTAAATGTTTCAGTCAGAAATAAGAATTTACTTTCCCAGGAAATATGATATGTGTAAGGTGAACAAAGAAAAGAAAGATAGCGCCTTCGAGTTGCGAAATGGCAATTTTCCGTGTTGATAATGAGCTCGTAATATTTATCGGTAGAGGCAAAAATACTCCCGCGATACTTTTGTCGGGGCAATTATTTTTTATGCACAACCCACGTTCCACCAACACACTGGATAGTGCAGTGCGACTGTTTTCTAAATATTATTTCAATTTTGCATATTTAACAATTTATCTTACATATACTGCATGAATATCAATCATAATACATTTTTATGTAACCTTAACATTCAAGTAAGTATTATTTTTTATTATAACATATAATATAGATAATCTCTGTAGAAAAATGACTATCAATGATTACTTCCATGTATAAAATTCTCGAAAATATTTTTACAACTCATTAATTCTATCAGGTAAAAATCGTACATTATTCAAGTAAGTATTATTTTCTATTGTTACATAATATAATATTATCAATAAAAAAAATGATGATCGAAGTATGAATAAAAGTCCGATTTATGATACAATATATTGTAAATTATAACAATTACACTATTTATTATTATGAACTATGTAAAAAATGTATGAAACATAAACTCCTCGGTGCAAGACGCACGCAAACGATGGACACGCATCGTACAGTATATTACAAGGTACATCGGGGGAGAACCGTCGCCGTGCGCGCGATAATGGCATTGTCTTGCAAAGATATATATACGTAAAAATATACAAGTTCCAACCAACATACCGATGTATACGTACGTAAGGCAGGTAAATAGGTATATGCAGGCAGGTCTCATTACATGACACAATCCGTGCAAAGCCGCGCCATAGCGAGAGACCGTTCGCCTGCAGTCCAGCCTAGCCACGGCCCGCCTTTATCTACATTTTCCTCCCTCCTATACGCCGCTCTGTTCCCGCGAACCTCCGCAAAAGTTTAGTTGTCGCTCGTTCGTCGACTCAGGAGTTCGCGGATTTATACCTGGTTCGCTGTGATTTTTGCTGCTTGAAGCATTGCCCTTTTCTTGCGAGTACGTATATATCAGATGTATCTGCTCTGGTGATACCGGGTGGAAGCTGTATCGAATGGGGAGTGGACACGAGTTTGGCCCAACATCGGGAGGAAACAATTTGTAATTTGCTATTCACTCCGTGGATTATTGGTCACGCACACTTTTCATCGGTTTTTTTACTCTTACGAGAAAATAATTTTTCGCGTATACCGACCCATGTGGCAGAAGTACATAGGAAGTTACCGATTTACGCTGTGGTGAACACATACAATTAATGCCATTTTTTTTCATTCCGAGTTTCCTCCCGATTTCTCTTGTGTAATTTCTGTTCATGGATACCTAATTGCTTCCGATTGGACGCGTGTACTTATTATTCTCCTGTAACTATCATTACTCTTATGCCGATTGCATGCGGTGATACAAAATTAATTCCCATCCAAACGAACCGTTCGAGTTGAAAAGAGCATTCCATCGATTTTCTACGTAAAATTAAAAACCTGCTGTTACGGTGAATCGTTTTCATACGCGCGATCAATTCATCCGATCCCCGCAACGAAGCGTCGCTCCGTTACCGATCATCCCCGTTTTGTACGGCTCCTCGTGCGAGTGGTTTAAAAATAGTGTTACGCTTACATGTTTCATTCCCAACTTTCCACCGCTGGTTGTATCTCCCGTGGATGTAGTGCGGTCGAAGGGAAATTGATGCTCGGAAGGTAGCCAGCGACAACCGGAGCCGATCGCTCTAAATGGGAGCAGCAAAAAAAGAGGAGTACAGCCGGTGCCTTCGATTGTTGGAAATCGCACCCAACGAGGCCGTCTTTTGATTGGAGCCTGTGGCTGTATTTTTTTTTTGCGCTGCGCGCACCTCTCCGTGGCCAATCATGTGGAACCGAAAAGTGTTCATTAGGATTATCGAGCTGGTAAGCGTTACGGCTTGTTTATGTGTATGTTTATGCTCTATATTACCGCGGCCTATATAATCTTGCGTACGTGCGAATCTTACCTGTTTGGAGAAAAATTATTGCATGGTAGTTTTATTCTTGGAAAAAAGAGCTGCGGTTTTTAGCGGTCGATTCTTTTATTTTTTATACGTTAACATTGTTGCCTTTCGCGGATGAAATTTCATTATTTCAATGTGTCGTAGAATCAGGAAAACTTGGATTAAATGTTAATTTTTTATTTTTACGTATAAAGCGTTCTTGAGTAGAAAAAAAAATCATAGGTTATTCCTTATAGTGTCTCTAAAGATGCAAATTGGAAGAAAAAGAAGTATGAAAAAACTTTTGAAATTCGTATATTAAAATTTTCATAGAGTGCCGTTTAGAAATCCCGTGGACAGTCAATTAGCATTGCCAGTGTTGTTTTCTTTTGTGCTAAAGCTCAACATAGACTCATCGCGAAATAAAAATAAAAGAGACTCGCTAATGCAACTCGCACAAAAGCCCCCGAAAGTTCATACGTGCGAGCGTCGAGCGCAATACTAGCGACCCTTTTTTTTTTTTTTCTTTTCTTTTCGCAATCAGATTCTGTGCATCGCGTGCGTCGTCGCTTTGAGGGTGACGGACGACGAAAGCCGAAGAGTCTTTCATTACCTGCGCAACAGAAGCCGCGAGAGATGGTCCCTCTTGAATAACGTCACATGGGGTACAATTGGTACGTGAGATAAGTATTAATTTTACTTTTACCCTACAAAATATACATCTAATTATCAAAATTGTGCACATTAATCGATCAGCCCATTAATGACATTTATTTATATGCGTCCAGATAAAAAAAATTGCATCCATTCAAAACGTATTGTCACACAAAAGGTGAAACCTGCAACACCTGCTAATCACGTGTGCTCTAAAAAATAAAAGTTCCAATAACCAGTCACACCAGTTCTTGAACTTAGCAACTCTATACCCTCCATTCTCTTGCACGTCATATTGGCAGATTGAAAAAACAAAATTCCCGTGCACATTCCGTAACTCTGAGCTGTAATATACTAACCCCCGTCCAGAAAAAAAAAAAAGAAAAAGAAAATAGCCCAATGTGATATGTGTCTATATGCGCGTGTTCACAGGTGCCGCTCTTGCGACAGCCACCTGCGGTGGCTACACAATCGTAATCGCGGGTCTGCTCATCGCCGCAGCCAGCGGAGAACTCAGAGGCCAGAAGACGGTAATGACGATCGCACACGCGTCCACGAGTATTACACCTGCACCTATGATAACAACAACAATACAGAAAGCCACACGCAAACAGCGTCCCCCTTTTTTTCCCGCGCGATGTAGTAAATATATAATAATATAAACAGGTACATATATGTATGTACATGAGTAACCACTAGAACTTAAGGGAACACAACGACGAGCGCGATTAAATGCCTCTTGATTCATGCCTTCCTGCCCGACCCCGCCTCTCGCCAAGACGATTATGTCATGTTGCCGCGACGGTGATGCAGCTCTTCGATCGCGTGCGTGCGAGTGTCTTTTCCGCGGGATTATTTTTTTATCTTTTTCACTCGTTTCCGCGTGTGGAATAGCAAATCAATTTGAGGTCAAAGAGGGGTTTATCCTCGGATGGGCATTCCAGTGCAGAGGCTTGATCCAGTTTGCCGATACACCTTGAAAAATTACGTAATTGTACCGATGGATCGGTAACACGAGAGCCGAGGGTGTATACATCAATTTGTTTATTGATACGAGCTGCGAGATAATGGACATTAAATCCATAATAGCTCGTCCATCGTGCGATTTAATTCGTTTTCTTGTGTATGTCCACTTGTTACGCTAACGCTGCCCATCAATAACAGAGCGTTACCTCGAGAGTTGACAGCGAAATGCAAATCATTCGTCTGTGATTTACGCGCCACACGTGCGTCAACTGAGAATTTTCTCGGCGCAACGGCCGCGTTTGTTGTCGTACTTATTGTTACGGACGCTTTTTGCGCAATCCACGGCGCTAAGTGCGCTTTTCCTTTTTTAACGTGGAAAATGTTAAATTTTCACAAAAAAAAAACAACAACAAGGACTCCTGTGTGCACGGCTTGTTTATGCGAAAAGTGAAATCATACGGATACACACGTGGAAAAGTCACTCAAATGGAATTCAGACGATTGATATCTCGTGCGCATAATCACCCCATTGGACTCTGTTTCTATTTTAAATCTATTTTGCAACTACTTGCCGCGTAACTGTTCAAAACCCCGTGTATAGATCGTAATTTTTTTTTTTCCTTATTTGCTTTTTGCTTCAAGTTTCATTGGAATTGAGTGTTTTAATTTTGGCGTACAAACCGACGGAGAGAGTTGAGCTCTGATGAATTTGCTCTGATTTTGCGTTGCACAACGAGATTTAATGCACAAAAATGGCCTTCCTCCGCACGTACGTGTACGTACAAAGTTTTATACAAGACCAAGCAAACGACTTTCGAATTATCATACTCCTATGTGTTACACAATGATACAAAATGTAAGTCAGTAGAGTTGAAACTTGCCATTACGTATTGAGTAATGATGTGTGTATATATATATATATATATATATACACACATCGCAAAATATATTCGTGTGAAAACAAACATTTGTATTCTCGTGCACAAAAGTCGTCCCTCGAAATTCCTGGTTCGCGTCGTAAACGCACGTACAACCAAATCACAGCCTATTCCGGTTACATGTAAACAAGAGTGACGCTATTAAACGTCCTCGTAAACAACAGGTCTCATGTACAGAAAGTGAAAAAAAGAATAAAAAGGAATAAAATTAATTATCCGTGACACAAGTGCGATGTATAGAAAGAACCGTGCGTAAACTATTCGCATTATGCACAGACATGAGAGAGCCGGGACGCGAAAATGGGTCGCTCTCGCCCGCAGCATCCTAAGCGTGAGAACTCGCGCGACGTAACTCCTCGTCCTCGCGCAACTCCTGTACATTGTATGCACGTGTATATATATATATACGGTGCGCATGTATACATATGCGAATTAGCGTTGTCCCGACATTGAGATACGCAAGGTCGCGAATCCTTTTTTTTTTTACGCCCCACCCTCCTTTCCTCCTCTTCAGTGTTTTTGTCACGAAAAAATGTTTTCACTCGCAACAGTATACGCGTGTATAGTTCAATTTGTATCGCGAAGGTGACTCGTGACCGCGCTTTTCTCTCTTTTTTTTTTTTTTTCTTCTCTCCTCTGTTGTATACGCCCAATAGCTCAACTAGGCGTGTACTGCCACCCATACACTCGTAAAAAAAATAAAATGTGGCACGCAGCAGAGCGTGTGTGTGCGCCATGAGTCCGGTCGTACCTCGTACATGTGTAATATGCATGTACACCCATATTACGTGCCCATATACGCGCGCATGCAAGGAGTTTTGCGGCGCTACTATTTTAATGACTCATAAACTGGGCCTCGATTATTATTCTCCTTAGAGCCGATCACGCCCGACTCTTGGTCTGCCCCTCGCTCTCTCTTTCCTGCCTTGTGGTATACCCACAATATAATACGGCTCGAAGGACTCGCGCGCGTGTGTTACCTGTGTGTGTGTTTTCTCGCGGTCTTGCGCTAGAGTACGAAATAATTCGAAGGGGGTTGAAAATTCCGTGCGAGCGTTCGAGTGTTGTATGTTTTCGGCGACGAGCTAAAATAATAACAAAAGAGACAAGAGCCGCTTGGACTGACCAGCTGTGACTGATTTTTGGTTAAATCATCGCGTTTACTGTCGTTTATGGACGGAGGAGCTTTTTTTCTTTTTTTTTTTTTTTTCTTTTTCGTGGGTCCATGAAAACCTTTATGTTTCAAACATGGTCTGAAACAAATGGAAACAGTGAGCCTAAAAAGTAATAAAGGTCAGCTATAGCTGTAAGACAAAATGTTTAATTTTATCCAATTGTACATTCTGGAGTGCCTTTTCATGATTGCCGATACGTTATGATTGATTTTTAACAGACTTGTGAAAATACCGTGCAGATGTATAGGTACGCACTTTTCTTTGTGCTCATGAATAGTATTAAATTACCGAAGAAAATTACTAGTGTCTACTAATCACATGTTACATTTTTTACTACTTTTTTTTTAGTATGGAACGTATATCTCCTTGTTAGATTGCAGCTTAATCAATCTATTCGTAAAGTTACTCTTTTTTAGTCATTATATTAAAGACGAATTTCAGTAACTCTTGAAAAGAAAATTACGTCTCTTATGACCTGTGATAATATATTATTTTGCCGTCGATATTTGGTATCTTATTTTGGCTCGCTGTAGGAACAATTTTGTCACTAGAGACGAAACTTAGTAGTTATACGGCAAGTAGAAATAATGACGAGATGTTTATAACATGTTACATGAAATAAGATTAAGTAATGTCCTAACAGTATTCTTTTGTACAATGGAAAGGAATAACAGTGAAATGATAGCCACAGCTTGAGTTAAGAAAAAAACGAGAGAAACAAAGAAAAAGTTAAAAGATAAGCAAAGACTATATACACAGAATTTTCTAGATTAGCTCTCACCATACAAATACACCAGACTTTCAAGTAAGAAGAGTTTGAAAATGTAGTAATGGTAGCAAAATTGAAAGAAAAGAAAAAAGTGAAGTGATAGAAATGAGAAGAATACTGCAGAGGGTAATACGTTGCAGCGTATATAAATTGGCACAGAATACGACACGCCTTGTGAGGAGAGAAAAATGTATAAAATAACAGGGGAAATGAAAAAAGCGAACCAGGAACAATGAGTCCAATAAAGTTGTAAATACAAATCTTGAAAATATAACTCAGTATTGCAACCTCTGACACAATACTAATCAAAATACAGATGAATAGTAACTTGCTACTAATAGTTTGACTAACCTCCTATAGCAATACACAACTACTTTGAATGATTAGTTTTCCAAGGTTACACAAAATTTTCATATATTTACTTTATAGTGTATAAACTGATGAAAACCTTAATTGCGTGATATCGAAGCCCATTCTGATTTTATGATTCTTTTGAAGGAAAAATTCCTACTCGGCCTGGGCATCGTTCTGTTCGCCATCGTGGGAACGCTGTCGCTGTTCTCGGTCGACGATGTGCCGAACGATCTCGTCGACAATGCCATAATCTTCGGCTCTCTGTGCATCATAACGGCCATCGTGTTCATTGTCGACTTCCTGATGAGCCCCGTGGTTGGCAAGAAAAAACACGATGGCACCCAAACGCTGTCCAGCAAGGAACAAGGTCGGTTTTAATTATTCGACTCTGCCTCGCGAGGAACGATCGCTTTTTTTTGTTTCACTCCATGTGTTTTATGTATACTCTTATACTTTGCGTTTTTATTGTACTGTAGATGTGTTTATCGAAACTATTCAATTGGCATTACCGCGTTGTAAGTTGGTGAACATGTAACCTTTGATTGTCATTAAAGAATTGTTTACGCCTCAAAATTTATGTTTTGGTTGTTGAAAATATACATGTGCCTTCCTCATCTTGTTCTGGAAAACAATCTCATATTTTTTTTCCTAATTTGAAATTTATTTTATCAAGTGGCCTCCAATTAATTTGATTTTTGTAACAACACATTGAATTATCACTATGAATTATCACTGAATTATCACACTGAATTATCACTATAAGCTTATTGGGTAACAAAACGCAGTTTAGAATGCTGGGTACGTATAGTGATAAACAAATCTAAAAAACGGGTATTATCGTTGCACGTGACTAACAAACCGTTTGCAAAAACCATTTGAAAGTGAATACGAGGTCTTAAAAAAAAATTACAGCTATTATATGGCATCTTGATAACAGTTAATGCTGTACGAGGGACTAATAAATAACAGTTTCCCAGTATTTAGCGATGATTCATTGCATCGCAGAAAACACAAAAGAGTTCCTTCCTTAAAATCGCACCGAAGCTTCACACTGTTTTTTTCATCACCGCACGCTTTTAGATGCAATGAACCCTGAAAAATCATCGCCGTACATGAAAAAAAAAAAAAAAATATATCGAAAAAATCTAACGGGGAAACGAGCGCTCAGTGTAGCACACAGATATCGGGGATTGGCTTTCTGTTCGCAGCCAAGCAGTACGTGACGACGACGACAATGACGGTAAACGAGAAGGAGCCTCCCGCGCTCAAAGCCGTAACGACCTGGATGTCACCGACGCCCGAAATGACGGAGAAACGCAACAGCGCGAACAACGACTCAGCGCCCGAGGACGACGACCGGGAGAACAGGCTCGAGAGAGCCGAGAGGCAGATGCGCGAGTACGCCCAGAACATCGAGAACGGCAGGGGGGCCCGAGGAAAGCAAGCCGTGAGGGGTCTTTTTTTTTTCATTCGTACACACAGTCCTTGGGTATGATCATTTTGTTTTGCAATCGGTAGCGGGACGAAGCGACGCGGAAGGTGAACGGGTACTACCGGGCCGACGACGTTTACCAGAGGCCCATGGACGAAGTCGACGACGCGCCGCCCTTTCCGACCCACATGGGTGAGATCTTTCCGAAAGTCGTCAACCCTGGCGTCAAGATAATGCGGGTCGAGCGCGATGACGAGCATCGGGGCTACGACAACTACAGGCAAGTCTCAGTGGGTCCAACAACAGGTGGTTTCTAGTGTTGAGTGCTTTTGTTGGTGGGCTGGTGGTGTTTTTTTGTTTTTCTAACTCGTACCCTTTGAAAAAAATGGCTATACTAATCTGCTGCTTTTGCTTTTACGCTTGGACGCTGGAGAGTCTGGTAGAAAGCACTTTTAGACGCGCCCTCGAGTGCTCCGTCGTTTCTTGAGTTTCAGAGGAAACGTCACTTAATTTTCGCGCACCAAACACTACTCTGTGCCTTTGTGAAATGGTCACTCGATTACTGTCATGTAATCCAACACAAATAAATGTATACATTGTTTTTTTCTATAAACGCCACACAATGCGTCAAGGCGTCCTTGGCCTTTCTCAGTTTTTTTCGTGCACCAATTTTTTTTTCTCCCACGTGAATGAGACACACGATTGTTTGTAAAAAAAAAAAATAAAAAAACAAAGAGTGTGTAACGGGACGTTCCCGATAAAAAAGGCCCAGCAAAACAGGTCCGTTCCGTCCTTGAGCACGCACACTCGGTTTTTTCCACAAACTCCAATCATTCATTTGAACATACACGAGAGCACCGTAAAAAATCAAATAAATGAATAAGGGAAAGCGTCGCCTTCTACCCGACTTCTTTCCGTAACGTTTGCCGCCAATGCGGGGATCATGCGCTGACTGGTTGCAGGTATTCCGATTCAAGTCAGTATGACAACGTGCCGACGCGAATGCGCGGCTCTACCTCTTCCCCAGGAATCTTAAAGAGGCAGCGAGACGCGTTCTTCGGCGATCAGCGTCGTTCGCGCGACTATCGGCATCATCCGGTCGCGACGGAAGACGAACGCCTTCGACAACAGCAGCGCAATCGGTCGCACCCAGGTACGACAGCCACCCCACGGGACGAGATCGAGATGCTGGAGGATTATTTCGACGGGCTGAGGATGTCGACGAGGAGTACGAATCGCGCTACCCAAACTACCGACGCTAAGAAGACGATGGTGCCTGGTGGGGTGGTCTCGGAGGTCACGACGACCGCGGCACCGATCTCACCGAACGATCCGGGCTTCGTGCGGCACACGGCGAGCAATTGGCCACACAGTTTGAAACCTAACACGCCGACCTGATGACAATGTGTCTGAGATCGGAGTGTGGGACGATGTCGATACGTGTGCCTTGCGATAGTATTCCATGGATATGGATTTTCATCACCTTTTTTTTTTCTTATTTTAAATTAGGTTTTGTCTCTGAAGGTAGTGATGTAAAGGCCGTAAGGTTTGCTCACTCGACAACTCGGTTTTTTTTTTCTTCTTACCTCTGATTTCCGCCACGTTTGTTCAATGTTATGCTGTAGAAGATTAGTTAGACATTCAAAGTGGAGGTGGAGAAACAGGCTATCCCGACAGCTACTGTGACTAGTCGAAAATTTTTATGCATATTAACTATATATTCGCGTGAGCACACCTTACGTTCTCTACATTATGATTCAAGCCATCTTTTTTTTTTAATTTTTTGTAATTTGTATACCAACCCAAAATCAGTACGGAGTGTGTTATTGCATTGGTTTTGTAAATATATCATGTGTTCTGTAATTACCAATCTTTTTTTTTTTACATGTATAACAAATTGTTAATAATTCAATAAAATATCTTAAAGAATTGAGAAGTTAATGAGTCTTATGTTAAGCATGACGTGAGCCGTTTCGATCCTAATACTTCAGAAAAAAGGAACATATAAGGAGTATTTTAATATCAAAAAGAAATAAAAATTTCCTTAGACTGATTGTAACGTGTATTTTCCCATTCATCCAATTTTTTGTCAAGTAAATTTTATATTGTATTGTCATTAAACACACATGCAAGAGCAAATCTTTTTGTAAATATGTAGCTTTAACTACTTTACTGTAAAATTTAATTACTTATTTGTTATATCATAGAATTTCCTCTAATCCATATGTTAGTATCTTCTATTCAATTTTCAATTGCTTCAATTTTACCGTTGAAACCACTCAACAAGGCTTTAAGCTGACGTTTTTAAAACTTTCAAAATCATTTTTGGTTTTACGATTCATTTTTGTTTTTTTGTTTAATTCTTCTTATCGGTGCTCTAACAGTTTTAATTAATATGTCTTTACTTTGACGACCGTGTTTCGCATCTTCAATAAAGTCCAAGAACTTTGAAATTTTGGTGTATGTTGCCGGTATAACTCTATCATCGCATTTGATGTATGATATACTCACGATTCCAATAACTGTTTTTTCCAACATTGAGGGTCCACCACTATCACCCTGAAAACATAAATATATGAATATTTGCTAACCAAAAAATTTTCATAAGATTAGCTTTCAATAATATGTTGGGTTTTTTTTAGTTGGGGGTCGGGTTTTACATATTTATTCAATAGTAAAATCCCATACAGTATTATGTCTGTCAAGAAATTATTTTTAAATTTTAAAAATAAAAAAAGATCTTAAATCAAACTGCATCGTAATAAGTGTCCCAGAAGTGGAATTATAGCGGTTGTATGTTGAAAAAAAAATTGAAAGTAAACCAAAAACCCGCAAGAGAAAAATCACATTGTCTCTTCTGCGTGGAAATCGTACCCCGATTCAGAATAAGAGTGGGAAATTTTATTCGGGAGACAATCTGTAGAAGCACTTTCACTTTTTCAAAACAAAAAAAAAGTAGTTTTAAAAAATTTGTTACGTACATCGCAAACACCTTGACTGCCTTGATTTTTCAATTCTTCGGTCATTCCACATAATAAACCTCGATACATGTGTTTGTTACACTTTCTTTGATGGACAATTCTTAAAGTTGCTTGTTTCAATATTCCAGGATAGTTTGATGCCTCCCAACTTTCGTTACCGAGATATTTGACAGCATCTGCACCGAAACCTAATACTTTTGAAATATTCATTTCTTTCGGGCAAAGATGCCATACCAATATTTGAAGAGTTAATGACATCAAATTTTGATTTGAGTTGGAAAAAAAATCACATAGTCATGTATTATTAACAAATATAAATAATCCTCAGAAGTAATCATTCAGTTGATATTAATGAAGTAAATCCGTTTTTTTTTCAATCATTTATGCCAGTGCTTTATAACAAGAAATATTAATAGCTCATTCGAAGATTTTCATAAGATACACTAAAGGTAAAATCATTTAGAGTAAGTTATAAGAATTGAAGAAAAAAATAATTTTTCTATTGGAGTTCAACACATAAACTTTTGTCCCTGAACAATATCTATGTACCAATGGAGGTTCCAAAGAATCTTACTGCAGAGTTCAATTAATCATTTTCTCGCTTACATTTTCCTTACATATACTTTATTTTATTTTATACCATTCCATGTGAGAATTAAAAAATTTAGCGCCCAAGAAAAAGTTGTGAGTTCAGTACTCCTCAATGACAAATATTATTTATTTATTTTTTTTAATATACCTTGGAGCTTTTTTAGTAACATTTGGATATTTACTGCTTCCTCGGTAGGATAAATAGTATTCGTCATGTATGAGAGCGCCCTTTATCCGGAGCCTACTTTACGGTACCTCGGGCCGCAAAATAGCCCCAGTGGTGATGGCGCTTTTGCGTTAAGCTTTCTGCTATTAAGTAACTCATGATTCATATTCAAGAACTAAAGTCATGACACTAAGTCATTTAAGATTTTTTGTAAAGATATATGCATGATTTGTTCAAGTATTAATTCTGTAATTACTTTCAAGACAGCTATGTCATTTAAAATTTTTTGCTCCTCTTTGTACTTTGCGTGCAGATAAACTTTGTCTACACGTATTTTGTGATTAAAATTTTTAACGTTCTCTGTCCCTGCGATGACAAAGTATGGTTCGTCTTTGTAAATATAAGAATCATTGACTTTTTCATTCGCTAAAAAGCAATGAGCTGCAGTCAAAACATCGTCCTCAATGAGTATGCCACTACAAAAGTGATATCTGTTATTTTGTACAGAAATCACATAATTGTTATCTTTTATTCTCACTCTCGTACCCCCTTTAATATTTTTCGATTCCAAACCAACAGCTTCATGGAAAGAAAAACACAAATTTTTATTTTATCTTTATTACCATCTTTCAAAAATTTGTTCTAACGTAACTAAATGTAATTCGTCACTTAAAATCACAGCATAGTAAAGAAAAGTTATAGCCCTTCTAAAAAATACAAGTTTTCTATACCTCTCCTTTAAAAAAATAATTAAGTATGTTTAATAGATGTCAATAATTTTTTTTTTACTTCAAGCAGTTTTTTTTTACCTTTGAAACTGCGCCCTCAGTAGGAAAAATAGAGCTTGTCCCTCTCGTATTAATATTATGATTATTTTTTGTTGTAGTAAAAAATAAAGTAGGCTTTCTCATGTAAGAATTTGTTCGTTTTGTGATTGTTACTTATTCATGTTTTGAATTTTAAATATTTTAATTTTAACATGAAATACGAAGTTTAGTAACATACCGTTGCCAACAGCAATGAGGAAAAATGTTGCCACTACGGGTAATTGGTAGTCCAGCGTCATTTTGACTACTTTGATGGTCTTTGACTGAAAAATTGGCATAAAAAAGGCAGTTTTATACTTGAAAGGTAGACATTTTGTTTAGGGAATTTTGACAAATTTCCTTATTATCTGACAAATTTTGAGTGTCGCAGGTAAACTTAAAACAGTAGTTGGTTAAAATTTTTAATTAGCTTGTAGTGAATCCCTCGTGATAATAGAAACCAAGTTAGAAACACTAAGGAAAGATTATTTTAAAAACCACTATGATGGAAATAATAATCTGTATATATTGCATTTAAAGACTATACTGTTTGTACACATAATTTTGATATAATGTGGAGATATGGTTTAGCCGATTTGATACAGCATTAAATTTTCTAAAAATACATTTTGCTTATGGTAATGTAAGCACTTTATCTTATTTACATTCAAATTTGTTTAAGAATTTCAGTGATATTTTCAAAGCTTGCATCATTTCTCGTTGATTAAAATTTTTTTTAATCATCGTAATAACCTCAATACTATACTTTCGAATGTCATGTTTACAAAATTTTATTCTCAAATTGTATCCAAGTTTTTTTTATAATTCCTGTTTACGAAAAGTTGGACTAAGACTTACCTGAGTTTTTACTAGAAAAAGAATTATAGTTATATTACATATACCTTGTTATAGCTAATTTTTAAATGTAATAGCTCCACAGATAAGCATTAAAGTCTTATCAAATCCAGAGATGTAACGCCATATTATTTTCGTTATTAGTCCATTGTAGGTTTTTTTTTTTAAACCTTTAGTAGTAGACGAAATAGCAGTTTTCATACCTGGTCGCATATATTACCAGGGCGATCACCGGATTCAAAGGTGCTTGTGCAGCAACCTATGATCGTCCTGATCGGATGTGCATCCGTGGAAAACGCTATTTTTTATATCGAGGGAGTAGTGGAAGTCTAAATTTTGAAAAAAGGCTGGGATAGAAAAAATAATTTGTAATTGTTTTTTCTTTTTCTTCTGAGTATGTATAGAAATCATATAAAAATATGAATTTATAAACATAAACATATGTAAATAATAAAAGTCTCATAATAATTAACTGCCTTTAAAAAATACGTTTCAGCTTTTTTTTTAGCAAACTTGAGATAAATCTATTATTCGTATAAATGAACTTACTTCTTTTTGTTTAATCTAAAATAAATATTGATTTTTAGTCTTTTCGGTGTATCATCATTGTTTGCTCTCTCTTCTGTATACCCAACTAAATTTGGAAGACATTCACAACGATAAAAAATACATAAATCTCTGTAGCCATCCGACAAATCGCCGAAGAACCGATCGAACATCATTTTTTCTTTTCTCTAACACTTGCTACTGCGGTACCTATCTACTTACACGTGTTCTCGATTCACCCCGACTCGTTGGTCAAGCAGATGCATGTCTATTTCATTTTTTTTCTTTTAATATTGTAGCCTTTGGCTAAGTGTAAAGTACGAAACAAAGAGGGTAACGAAAACTGGTCGATAAGTCAGTGAAGTCGAAATGAAAACATTTTCGTTAAAAATTTCAATTTATTTTTCCGCACAGTCCCCTTACAAGGCTGTACATTAACTATTATGGTATTCAATGTTACTAATAAATTTTACATATTCAAACTACGTTTAAAAATTGAAAGTCAGTTTGTACAAACTTCTGTTGTATTGTAGTACTGAAACAGTCATTAAGATTGTTGATGTAAATGTAAGAGCGTTGATATAATACACAATTCTGCATTTAAGTTAAGATTTTTTGCGTTGGTCCTTCTGAACCTTACGAAACAGAAAAAAAAAAAAGTAAATAAATAAAAAAAAAAAAAAAGTAAATCACCCTCTTTCAGAGTTTTTAATGCTTATATTTGAACAAGCCAGTCATACATTAAAATATTTTTAAACAACATCGTAAAATTAACTGTTTTACCGTGAAAACTATTTATTGTGTACATATTATCAAAACTATTTTGTATCATCTTTGTCCTCCTTTTGAAATGCTCTTGTAGCATTGAATCCAATTAGACATTTAGCTGGCTAATTTTAATTTTTTAGGCTCTTTTTTTTCGTTTTGCGGCTGATTTTTTAATTTGATTCTTCTCAATGGCGTTTAAAAATTTACTGTAATTTTAGGGAT